TATTTTCAAACTATTTTGTAAAGTGTCAAATTAAAAGTTCTGAATGGTGAGGCAGCCTGGCAGCTGAGCGGTTAGGGAGCGTAACAGATGGGCACAGATGTCCTGAACAATGAGTCTCTGGTTTGATTCCCAACTGGAAAACATTTGTTTTCTCCAGATCTCTTGTCTCGCTTCACTGTCACCCTTTAAAAAAAATAAATAAATAAATGGCATCAAAATGTCCCCCAAAGAAATAACTGCAAGAGAAAAAAAAAATCCCAACTATGTGAACAGAAGTAAACGTTCTGAGTGTAATCTTGTCATGGATACTGTGATTTACATGTTAGCTGCAGCACAAGCCCTAATTTATAGCTTATTTCTGCAAATTTGTGTACATTTAAGAAAATTAATTCCTTTTAATTCGCTTCTTCTTGCCGTGTACCAGGGGATGTACTAGAGAAATCCTAAAACCTGGCTGATCTGATGATTCTTAGCAAGTTGCTGTTTTTGTTCTTCCCAAGTTTGATGTGTTGTCCTGTTTCAAGATGACCACATCATTCTGGAAATGCCAGAGAGAACACATTCCCAGCATTGAGTCCTGACTTCAGCCTCCTCCAACACCTTTAGGATGAACTGGACTGATCTGGGCTTCATCACCCAAAATCTGAGCTGGACCTGGAGCTGAACGGGAGCAAATCCCTGCAGCCAGATTCAGCATCTGCTAGAGAGACTGAAGCCAGAGGAGTTTTTCATGAACACGAATATGTCCACACACTCTGGGATACGTTGCGTTTTCACATCTAAGACCTGAACGTGTGTCAAATCCCAAATAAAACCCAAAGCGCCACGATGATCATTTAAAGATGGTTTACTTTATTTACATAAATATCAGGGTTCTGGAGGGACTGCGGTCCCAGAATGACACAAGCAGACAGAACATGTTGATGAAGTGAGGTCGGCCTAAACGGAGGAACATCACTTCTTCTCAGGGGCTGCGTCGCCGGCCTCCAGCTTGGGTGCCGCCTCTTTGGGCTCCCGGTGGGCGGGGAACACCTCCCAGGGCGTGTTCAGGTCGAACTTCCTGAACTCCTGCGACAGCTCCACGGGCTCGGCCACCACACGCTTCACCTCGTCGTCGTAGCGCACCTGCACAGGAGACAGGCCTCGGTTTGTAAGTTACATTAGGAGTCATGTTCGTGTTTCATTGTCAGATTTGGTGCATTTTAAGGATATAAAAAAAAAAAAGTCCTGGTGGATTTAAAAATATAAATACACAACTAGATTAGAAGCCTTTCTTGTCAATGCATCCTGATCAAATTCACATTTATCATCTTTTGTTTATTCACCGTCCTGTCATGGTAGCAGCAGGATAAACGTAATTACAGACTTCCCTCCTCTCCTGAAGAATCCTAAGGTGTTCCCAGGCCAAATGAGAGCTGCAATTCTCCTAGTAAGTTCTACGGTACCCGAGGTTCTCCTCCTAGATGGACATTCCTAAAATCCTCCAAAGGAACACACCCAATCAGACGTCCAAACCAACTCAGTCGGCTCCTGCTGACGCGAAGGAGCAGTGACTCTACGATGAGCTGCCTCTGGATGTCCGAGACTGATTCCAGTCACTCTCTCTCGAGCAAACTATATGGGCAGTTTGTATTCGCAATTTCATTCTTTCAGTCACTTCATTTAGCTTGTGAGCATTTAACAGCCAGAATTTTCCCTCAGGAGGTGGAGGAGACCAAAAACAGAGCAAAAAGCTAAACATTTCCCGCCAGTCGGTACGTTTCCACATTTCTATTACCTACAAGTTCTAATAATGTTAGTTGAATCTAATATTCAAAGAAAGTTTTAAGGGTGTTTATCATTTTAAATAATGCTCCTATTAGGCTAACAGTAAATAAAGCGTAACGTTTCGAGTGCAACATTTAGAGGACGTTTAGAAGATGTTGTCAAGGCCACAGATTATGTTACATGATGCCAAAGCCAGAACCCTTTTAAACCAACATGCTGAAATTGTTTCCGAGGCCTCAGATGAGAAAAAAGTATAAAACATTTGACATTATATATAAAGAAAATAACTCAGGACCACAGGCGCAGGTTGGAACGTAGATCAACTGGTGAATCGGGAGCTTTTCCTTCTGGTTCAGCTCCATCAATCCATGATTAAGATCTAGAGATACTTCAACTCTTGCGCTTGGGGGGAATAATAAATTTACAAAACAGATATCTGTTCCCTGAACTATGAAAAGTAAATGAGATGATTGAAATTAATATTGAATTCTTTCCAGGAAATCTATTCAGTTTCGGAAATGAGCAAACTGTCAATTTTCAGATTTTCAAGGCTCGTAGGAACCCAATTATCACCAGCTCGTAAAATGAATAAATTCAAACAACAGGATCCGTCAGAGTCTGCGTTACTGACATCCTGCCAAGACTACAACAATATAATTATCCTTTGGATGAATCGCACACTGACGGAGCTGAACGAAGCCGCCTGCTGCTGCCAAAACTCACCTCTACGTATCCTGACAGAGGGAAATCCTTTCTGAAGGGGTGACCCTCGAAGCCGTAGTCCGTCAGAATGCGCCTCAGGTCGGGGTGGTCGGCGAAGAACACCCCGAACATGTCCCATACCTGTTTAAAGGCACAGCTTTACTCTCGGCTCGTCTGCGCCGCTGCCAGTGTGAAGAAAACAACAGCTTGAATGTCGGCCTGCAGGGTGTGACTCACCTCCCTCTCGTACCAGTTGGCAGCCATGTGGACGGGGACGGCCGAGTCCACCGGCGTGAGCTCATCTGTGTACGTCTTGACGCGGATGCGGGAGTTGTAGCGCAGCGACAGCAGGTTGTACACAATCTGGAAACCGGCACACACAAATGATGTCCATAAAAAAAACACTTGGACAGCTTGGTGACTGAGATTAACAGGACGATGATCTAACGCACACGTGTCAGGAGGACGAATAAAGACGACTGATGCTTCCCTGTGCAAGTGTTAAATAACAGCACTGAGGAAAGTCATTTATAGTTTAGTTATCCAACAATATTTTAAGATCTTTTTTTTGTTTTTGTAACTGGGCAGGTTGGGATTGGTTGAGCAGTAAACAAGGCTTGACACAGCGTTTCTGCAGCATTCACCAAATTCCAGCTTACAGGCATTTTAATACTACACTGAGTCATATACAGAGCTGAACAGATGTTAAGTTAATAAAGTCAATAAAGTTCTATTCTCTTCTATTCTAGATGTATCAGACCACCACCCAATGTCAGGTTTATGCCACAGCTGCCCTAAATTAACAGCACTGGTAATGACCACATTTAAAATCTAAAAGCTACACAGATGGATGCGTTAAAGATCAGACATATTATATTTTAAATTCATTAGATTCCTGATAGATTGTGGGATTAAATGTAATTTACACTCTGCAGGGACGTCATTGATTCTGATGTCCTTTGCAAATAAACTTCAGAAATCATGGAAACAGAGAATCATCGTGTTTCCTTTCTGTCCCAGAGTAACGTATTGATCGCAAACAGGAACCGTTAATAGAAAAAACTTGTATAACCTGAATTCAGCCTGCCTCCTATTTCTTTAAAAGTTTATATGAGAAAGAAAAAGATAAAATAAATTAATTACTAAAAAAGCAGGATGATATTTGGCTGCTTTTGCTGCAACACTTGACAGATGTGTCATGTATTATTAGGCACAGCTGGGTATTAATTATAGCTTAGCACGACTATGACACCGTTTCATTTACTTTCCATACAGCTGTGAGGAGCTTTGAAGTAAAACTGGTTTGGCGGACCTAAAAATTACATATTTATCTGGAGAGAGCTGCGGCTCGACACAATTTTCTCTTCACTTTTTGATAGTTTGACATTAAAATTTGCCCTTATTTTACAGGTGAATTGTGGTGTGACATGTAGCAAATAGTGAAATGACGGCAGGACAAAGGGCATTCTTTCTTACATGTGACCGTTATGACATGACACGTTTGTGTGGCGCCACAGCTACCTCAAAGCGGTTCTGCCGTGTTGGGATGTCGACAGCTGTCAGGTCGATCATGCTCTTGAACTGGGCGTTGGTGTGATCCTTCAGGAAGGTCAGCATAGGGATCACTCCGTCAGGATGGATCATCACCTCGAGCTCGTTATAACTCGTCACCTGCACAAAACACACAGTTTGAAGCCGTCTGCATGTCTCTGAAATCTAATCTAAGCAGGTTATTATCTGTGAGTCCTGGTTTCTGACAAGAGTGTCACAAGAACATGAGCTGTGATTTAAAAACTGGTGCCAAATAGCATATTGCTGCATGTTACCGTCTAACACATCTATGTCAACTCTAAACAGCGTTAGCAGCAAAAGGAAAACGTGATCTTATATCTGTGAGTCTCAGTGCTCATGAACTGACCTCAACCTGCTGGACGTATTTGGGCATCATCTCAGCCACATACTCTCCAAACGCTGCCAGCTGCTTGTGAGTGACGGCATCTTTGGGCCTGACAGTGGCTGAATGAAGGACAGAGGAGACAACACAGGGTTACTCCGTTGTGACACACACTGCACAGACTGTGTTGTTGTTAAATTCCCACAACTATACATCCATTTACCTGACACACTTCTACACACTGTTTACCAATTAACAATCTTTAGAAGACTCTTCCAACCATCTGGTAAAATATACATCTGTATGCTAAAACTACATAAATACGATTCATTTGATCCACAGCAAGAAATGACATATTAGTATGTCCTGCACCAACGTCTGAGAGAAAAATATCAAATCTTTTCAAAATGTTCTTGCCGATGATGTGTCACCTTGGAGAATATAGTCATGTGAATGAATATATACACAGTAAGTTTATAAAGTCTGAGACAACTAATGAAGACACTTCTAGTTTGAATTTGTTTTGAATTTAAAGTGACAGCAGAGAAATCTTCAGTCCCAGGGCTCTTGAACTTTTGACGGGCAGAGTTTTCATAATTCGAGCCTTTATTTTCCCACACATCTCTATCAGGTCTCAAATTTAGATTCACCATTTAATAAGATTTTTTTTTTTTCCATCATCAACCGCAAATAAGCATTTGGAAACAAAGTGTGGCCTTCTGAGAGGTGTTTTAGAGACGCTCCACGTCCTCTCAGGGCACTACTAGGGCTGCACAATATTTCATTTCACAACCGACATTTTAATGTACGCATACACAATTTCAAATATAGAATAGAATAGAATAGAATAGAATAGAATAGAATAGAACTTTATTGATTCCTTTGGTGCAAACCTCAGGGTAATTGTTGAAATATACACATCATGCTATAACTTCTTCTGCTGTTTGCAATTCTAATAAAGTCTTCAATGGGTCTCATTTTATAATAAAAATGATTTACTCTGATTTATGGGTTAATAAATACATTAAGTCTTTTGTCTTTTCTTTCATTAACAAAACACAGTTTTCTGACATGCAGACTCCACATGTGCACTGCAAAATGACTGAGGAACAAAACCAAAAAGCAAGATCTGATTACAAAAAGAAACACACTGTCTGTTGTATGGAAGTATTTCCCCTCCAGAACGGATGATGTCGACCAAAACCAGGTGTCCTGTCTGCAGTGTCTTACACTTGTTGCCACCACATGGGGCAAATGAACTGATCTGTTTGACCACTTAAATTAGCACCACAAAGCTCTGTATGACGAGTGCAAAGCCAGATCTGCATCCAGAGAAAAATAAATATTTTGGATGCTTTTCCCAAAATTAAAAGAGAAGAGACAGGCTACAGGTTAATATTATCAGCTCTCTTCAAGCTATTTATATGTTCTATGCAGATGTGCTCCACTTTAAAATCGCCTCAATCTTACAAGAAGGATGAATTATTTTCATGTAGAGTTATTTAAGTCATCTGGTTAATTCCTGTACCTTCACATATTGCAGACAACCAAAATATTGCAGTGCCATTTATATAAATATTGTGCAGCCCTATAAGGAGTTCATGCTGTCAATTAAAACTGCTCCATGTTTATACGTTTCAAAGTCATCTGAGCTTCTAGGGTCCCTGTAGGTTTGCATTTTCCCACTTTGCCCCAAAGGTTGATGTCAGACAGGCTGGAGGTGAGGTTATCATCACCATCCTGTATCATCAGCATCAGCTGCTGTGTACTCACGACGGTTGTCAGTGGTGGAGCTCTGCAGCCTGCTTTGCTGCTGGAGGACACACGAACTTCTTGCAACTGAGGGAAAGAAAAAAGCAGGAATGAATCAAAACGGGGACTAAACATGTTATTGACAACTGGATCCACAGAGCTACACAGGAGCTTGCGTAATGCGAGCAGCAAATCACGAATAAAAGAAAGACTCGTCCTACATCCGCTAAAAACACATCTGCACGGATGTGAATGTTGCCTAAATACATCAACCTGTCAGAGAAACAACATGAATCTGTCCATCCTGCTGCCACTGAGCTCAGTGCAGGCTAACGTTAGCATTAGCTAGCTCGAAGGTCAAACCTGAGACATTAGACAGTTAAAAACGACACAGTGCAGTTTTTAATAGCATGTACATAGAAGCAGCCTGAAATTAATCACTGCAAAGAGCAGTCTGTGTGAACACAAACGGGTTGGTAGTGCACTTACTGTTAAAACTCCTTCCAAGTCCTCCGCGGACAACCCGCACCAACGACGCCGCCATGTTTGCTCTCCGGAGTCAGTTTTGTTCAAGTGGAGAAGCGACTGTTGGCGGTTTGTCGCCCCCTAATGGACCGGAGGAGGAGCTCAGCGGCCGGACGGTGTCTAGAGGGAACACCTTTACTTACATTTATTTATAATTATTTATTATTTATCATTTATTATCATCACCATTATTATTATTTTTATTATTATTATTATTATTGTTGTTGTTGTTGCTAAAAGATAAGCATATTATCATTTGCACATTCTGTTCATTTGCACGTCTGTATCTCTCATGTACATTCTTGTAAATTTTGTTGACTTTTCTTTATATATTCTATTTTCTTATTTATTCTACCTTCATTTTATACCCTACCATAATATTCTGTGTTGCATTTTTGATTTTTTTTACTCCCTTTGTTGAACATTCATGTTGCTGTAACAACTGAATTTCCTTCTGGGGATTAATAAAGTCAGTCTGAGTCTAAGTCAGGATTTTATTAATCCCGGAAAAAATCTTGTGCCAGATATAGCTAAGACAAGAAACTCATGTAACACGAGAATTAATGCAAATAGAAATAAATAGAAAAGCATGATACATTATTAAAAACTAAAAAAATCTGAGCAGAACAGAAAAATAATGAGTTATACTGTCAGTGATTCTAAGGTAGCAAAGTAATATCAAACTTGATAATGAATTATTGAAAATGAAGTTGAAATGCTGTCGATGAAAAATGAAATATTGCTCATTACATTGACATATTGTGTAGGAGACTAAAATATTGCACATGAAATTCACGCTGTGCAGACAAGACTGCCATGTAGAAATAAAATTTCTAATTGATTAAAAGCTTGAATGGTTAATTAAAATGTGCTTTTTTAACTGTCACAGTTTAAATTACATATGATAAGCTCACTAAAGCCACTTTGATCAAAAGTGTCTGCGCTGCTGAGGACTCCCACTAGTCATTTTAGTGCAGGTTCAAAATTAATCTTCAGCATTTTGCACAATGGGCAATAAAAGTGAATAAATGAATACAACAACGAAAAACATAAACAAATACATTTCTACTAACATTAACGTATATTAAATTAAAATAATGAAGGATAAAAGAATCATGTTTTGAACTTGACACACAATAAAACCCAGAGTCAAATGACATCACTAAAACAGATTTTAGCACATTTACACACACGCCTTGTCTAGTAATGTCAAAATTGTGAAAATAAAGAAGCATAAACACAATTCATATGCCACAAATATTTATTTCACATCATTTACAGAGTTTTAATGTTATGAGGCACTGTAGGAAAACATGATACAGTAACATAAAATGTTTTGTATAGCTCACAGTTACTGCTTTCTCTATGTATTGTTCACTAAAATGTCCTCGCCTTGTTGTTCAAATTGCAGCTAAATGCAATAAGCGTGAAGTGGAGTGTTTAATAATTAAAGACACAAGCAGCGGTGATGCTTGTGTTACAGAACTTGGAGATATCGTTGGCTAAAACATGAGGATGAGGCTGGAAAACAGTAACATTTTAGCCCAAATCATGCATTCAGAGTTACAAAAACAATTCAGCTATTATGATTTGAATGTCTTTTTTGCCAGCTGATTTGTCATTACCAAATAAAAGCCTGCCATGTACAGTAAAACCTAAGTAACTCTGATTTAAAACCACAGGTGTAAACGATCTGTTTGACCTTCACTCTTCAGTAGTTGTTCGTTACGATGTGCACGACTGGCTGAAAAGACAGCAGCTGTGTCTTTAATCAAGGCTGAGTCCAGTCGTCCAGCTTCAGTGGGAACATAATGAGGTTCTGCTCTCTCAGCTGGACTCCACACACACCTGCTGGTAGTAAGTCCTCAGCATCTCCAGCTGAGCCGAGCGCACCAGGACGTGTGGTCGGACAGACGCCAGCTTCTGACAGGCCTCCTCTGGAGTCCAGCAGTGCAACTGTCAGCAGAAAAAAAGCACACTGTCAAAATCTGGAACCCTGCTACTGACTGACTGAACAGATGGATTAAACCTGCAACGTCTGTCTCCCCCTTCTGGCAGTGAGAGTAATCACACCTACACTGTTGAGTGATTATGACATAGGAAGTGTGTCAGAAAAGTTTCAGGACTGGTGTCACAAAAGCTATACTTCAAATCCAAACTACAAGTTTTCCTCTTCCAAGTAATCCCCCTGGAGTCTAACACACTCTCCCAGCCTTCTCTGTCACGCCGCCATGCACTCCTGGAAGGATTCGTCTTCTTCTTCTTCTGTACAGACCAATTCATGGAACTGACGCAGACTTTAAATGTGGAAAGCTGGTGAGCAAACAGCTCTATTCATACCACCAATAAGTACTCGTTGGTTATCGAACACAAAATAACAAGCAGGGCTCTCATGAACGTTTCTGAAAGGCTGTGAATGACTTTGCACTTTTTACCGGATACATTAGCTTGTTACAGACTGGACTGTTGCATTGTGTCAGTGATTATTCGTGAGGTGTGTTGAGCACAGTGTTCGAACGCAGCACAGGATATCTGGAGAATTTAGATCTTGTCACTGTGTTTGGGTTCCGTCGATGGAAAGCATGTAGACATCATTGACTGCACACAGACTGTTGTAGACACGTAGATGCAAAAAGCATGAACTGGCCTTGAAAGTCTGATACTCTAGTATTAAGTTCTCTTTTTTATGCAGTTTTTTTTAAGCATGTTAAGGTAACAGCATCAACTTAGACGCAACTTAGAATCTATTTCCTGTATGACAACAGTAAAATGAAAACATCCATAGTTTAAATGGATTTTATGAAACAGATGTTGCTGCATGTGCACGAGTAAAAATGTCTCTTGCAGTTGTACACCATTACTATCAATAATACTGTGTGGATGCAGGTCTGGTACAACCAAGCAGACTATATAGACCTGAGTCCCACCAGAGTTGCCAAATGTTTTTTTGGAACTTGCTGCAGTGTGTTGATCAGCAGGTCTTGTTGTTGGAAGTCAGTGTTCTGTTCTGCTCACATTACTCTGTAAGTGCTGAAGTACAAAGCAGTGACAGAATACTTGATCACTGTCATGCTAAGCTAATTATTTCAAATTAATTAATTGAATTACAGCCAAAATAAGCACCAGCAAGCTTGCTGTTTTCAAGCTGACTTCTCGTATGTGCTACATTCTGTTCAGTCACTCCACTGTTACGTTCTGTGTTACATCAGCGTCATATTATTATATATGTGACATTTGCAAGATAATAAATTATTCTGTTTATTTGCTGCTGTGTTATACGGTATTAAATTGTACTATTCTGTTAAGCTGACATTGCGGCTGCAGTTAAAACAGCAGGGATCACGTGACAGCGAGGCCGTCTCACAGCTCCGTACTGACCCGTATGAGGTACGCAGCAGCTAGTGTGGCGCTGCGGGATCGTCCAGCCTTGCAGTGGACATACACGCTGCTCCCCTGCTCTCTTTGCTGCAGGGCGAAGTCCACGCCTCTGTGCAGGTTCTCCAGGCTGGGAACGCCGGTGAGGTCCACGGTGCTCAGCCTGAGCTGCTCCACACCAGCCGCCTGCCACTCCTGCACCCAGCATCACACACATCAGGGCAGGCATTTAGCAGAGAATACATAAAGCATGAATGGTTTTGTACTGTTAGAAATCAGCCTGTGGTGCTCAACAGGGCTGCAAAGAAATTGTGTTAATCAATTAAGGCCTCATGCGATTTTAAGTCTCAAACTGAGTGAGTGTTTCAGCTGATTTACATTATCTGTCATATGCAGAATACAGAAATAAACAACAAACACTGAAAGAGGACTTACAAACAATATGACTTGCTGCTTCTATATATTTATTCCATACATCTGCAGTAAACTCACCTCGCTTGAGTTGCAGAAATATTTGGTCTCATACTCCTCATTCATGGTGATAACCCCTCGAACATTTTCTGCTTCTACCAACTGCAACACAAGAAACAACAAGCAACAGCAGAGGGTTAGGGTTTGGGTCAGCACAGGGTTACTTACTGTGTTCAGGATTCAAATACCTCCCAAATGTAAGACTTTGGCGTTTTACAAAGACTCACTTAATTTTTAATAAGGAAGAAATTGAGTTTCAGACAACAACAAAGTCTTCTGAGCTGCTACCAACAGCAGCAGCTATAGAACTGCTGAACTGTCTGGCATTGACTTGTATCGTATGTTAGAGGACTGAGGCGAAGCTGCAACTACGGCTGTGGAATTTATGCTGTGAAGTGAATCATCCAGAGACTAAAAAGAGACAGGAAAATCGATGAATATGATCACAGACACAGTATAATATAAGCAGCATTTTGTGTCTTAACGACTGACGTTTGCATGTAAAAGGTCACTTCCTCCTCCAATAAGAATTGTGAGATATGACAAGGCTGCAACTGACAACGTTTTTGTTATTATCAGCCAATAAGCAGCCTATTTTTTCTACTAACTGTTGTCTAATAAATTCCTGTAAATAATGTAAAAATGTCAATTTGAATTTAAAAAAGGCCATAGAGATGTACTAAAATATATTTTTTATCTTCATATCTGAAAAGTTGCAACCACATGCTACACCAAGCTTAACTGATTATTAATGAATTCTCTTATTACTTTCCCCCCTTATTACTGAATTTACTTGTTTATAGTCTTATCAGATGTTTTACTTTGACTATAAATCACTGTGAATTACTGTCTCCTTACTATATATTATTATTACTGTTATTTATTTCACCATTTAAAACAGACACGAAGCCACAGCCCTTTTCATAACAAAAATAAGGTTACAAGTACATCTAACCTAAATAAACCTCATGTATTTAATACAAATGTACCCAATTTACACATTAAACTAAGGACCCAACAGCATAATGTGTTAGAAACTCAAACCAAGTATATTTCAATAGAACGTATTAAAACAATTAGAATTTTGGACAGTAGTTTTAATGTTTTAAGGCAAGAAACAACAAAGAAATGTGGGCAAAAAAGCGGGAGAGTACAGAGGATAAAGACTTGTAAAACCAGTCAGCAGGAAATATTACAAAACAAGACAAACAGAAGAAACAACCAAGATACATTTGAAGAGTTCATTTGCAAAAACAGATCAACTCCATCTTCACAAACCTTCAGAAAACCCACTGTTCCATCATCTACCTGAGACAATACCAATCAAGCTTATCTCTATTGTTGTCACGTCCACTGAGTCAAATCCACTCAACTTCAGTTTGATCGATTTATCTCAAGCAAACAAGAAAAAACAAGTTTTCTGAAAACCTACAAAAATGGAGTTACCGGTTTTTTGCAAATTAACTCTTCATTTCTAAAATAAAATAAGTACTAAATTAGTTATAAATTAATTATCTGACTAATCTTCATATTAAAGATTCTATAGTACTAGACATTGTACAAATTGACTTAAGTAGTTTATAGATTAACAATATTATTATTGACAACAATATTATTTATTCCACAAATTTACCCGGCTAATTTAAACAATAGGGCTAATTCAATCCCTTTTCAAATAAAACAATAATAACTTAATATGTACATATATAACTTTATTTAAAATTATTTTAACTGAGTATGTATATTTTATATATTTTTTTAAAGTTGCATTTATTGACTGCTTTTTTTTTTTACATTTCCCTGATAAAATATAATTTCAATAATAACAATATGGATGTTTTTTTTACATAAAATTTATTTTATTTTTTTTAATATTATGTATTTCTAATGGGTTAAGTCAGCACCAGCACCGCCCCCTCATTGAGGACTTTTAGCGGTGTTTCCTGACGCGTTACCCGGTACCGTCTGACTATTAACCGGTACCGTCTGACATGTTATCGAGGCTAATGTTCCATGTTCGGTGTGAACCGGACTGACCTGTTTGGTCATGGACCTGAAGGGCAGCGCTCCCAGAATCACCGTCTCGTCCACTCGGTCGAACCACCGTCTGGACGAAACCTTCTCCATGACAACGTTGTAGGCTAACGTCGGGTAGAAGAGCAGCCGCGCTAACGCTCCGGACATGGCTGCGCTGTTTGAACCACAAATAAAAGCAAAACCGTGGACTCGGTTATCTTCTCATCACTGTGGAAGTCAGTGTTGTCAAGTCCGACCTGTCGGCATGTGTTCTTCTTCTTCTTCTTCTGGTGAAATTTACTGCAGACGTGTTCTTCTTCGTGGGTGTGTTTCAGGTTCCTCCTCCGGTCTGGCGTCAGTGTTTCAAAATAAATCTGACCACCATAAAAAGAAACTAACCTTGACTGGAAACCAGAAAAGCACACCGTAGAAGTAATTCAGTACCAATATAGTCATTGTTAGGATAGTAGTAGTATTATTTTAATGATGGTAGCAAAAATTCTATTCCAATCAATTTGTTGCAGATTTTATTTTGAAATCAACTTCTTCTGCAGTATGGACCAACATACACTTTGAAGTACCACCTGTAGTGAAAATATTGTATTTGTTTCTGTGCTAGAAGACACATAGTGAGCGAATTAAGCAGTCAGAGCAGTGGGCATATGCAAGAAGTTTTGAATTTAAAATGTTTTTCACAGCAAATATATATTTTTTGGAACTGGATTTTGATTTGTTTCATATTTCCCAGCACCTCTGCACCACAAGTTATTTATTATGGAACTGTAGTCAAACAGTTTGTTAGTCACTGAAGCTGGATTTAGAAAAAAAATAATTTTAAACAGTTCGACTGACAATTTTGCTTTGCTGTGATTCAAATGGTGACATTTTAAGATTACAGTTTTCATTCATCAATAAGAATTTTTAAAAAAGAAAAGAAAAAAAGACACACACACACATTGAATTTATTTGTCAGCAGCCACAACCTGAATTAATGCAATTTGGCCTCCACATGTTTTCTCCAGCAGTAGTTTCCCAAATAAAACTCCACAGGATGATGAGAAAGTCCCCTGATTATTGTGAATGACTGATAATTCATGGAATATGTTGTTTGATATTATATTTATCATTTATGTAATTCATGGGAAGCTCTTGTTAAACCAAAGAAAACATGTTAAAATGATGAAGTAATTACATAAACTCTACAAACATCTGAAACACTAGGTGACTATTTACCTTGAAGTATAAACAGAAGTAGGTCAAAACTTTCAGCTCCTTGTTATTATCTGGTGGTGAGGTTTAATTGGCCAGTATGTAATGACTGAGTTAAAGTTAGTGGTTAAAGTGTAGTTTGAGTTTTCCATAACTTCTTAAAATATTGATTCCTACTGTTTGAAATACTGCTTTAAACCACCAACCACCAAAACTTTAAACTACAAATATGAAACAAACATGTCCGTCTTTTTGTGTAGAAAATACATTTATTTTATTCTGACAAAGCTTTCCAAATCAGCCATGATTTTGAATCCGTGCAATTTAAGTATAATTCAACTAGTATGAAGCACCAATACACTTTAACTACGAGTCATAACAGTCTTTGTGAAACAGTCGAGTTTCTACGAAGAAACAGCAGACAGAGAAATATATACACATTTATAAAAACGGATTTGGAAGGAACAGTGTGAGTCAAAGTGAAATTACACTAAGCATTGCAATATATTTTCTAAAAAGAAAAGAAAACAAAAGTGCAACATACTCATAATACATTTGGCCTGTAATCCCGGATTGCATAACTTCAGAAAGCTAAACTTTCTTTTGTCTCTTTTTATCATAAAAAAAAAATGTGCAGTAAAAGATACAAACATCTCAGTAATCGGCCAAGAGAGCCAAAGTAGTGTTAGTTTAGCTTACGATACAAACATTTTTGTTTCTTCTGCAGACAGCGATAAACCGACAACAGATCCTTTGTCCCTCGTTTATCAGAGACGTAACACTTTATATATTATCACCTTCATTTACATATAAAAGCAGAGCAGTGAAAGGTAGTGATCCTTCCTGGATGAGGCCAGAACGTCATTGGAGGGGCTGTGATATTATGAGCTGATGCAGGCGGCATCAGAGTGAGGAGGTCACAGGTTGGAGGTGGTGGAGTTCAGGATGTCGTGCTGGATCTTGGCGTTAGAGGCCTTGGACAGGTCTCGCTGTGGAAACAGAAGGGCAGATGTGACGTTGAACTCTTAATGTGACGATATGACAGACAGACAGAAGCTTAGAAGTAAACAAACAGGTGCTTGTTGTTTCCTGACCGTTACAAGTCACACTGTGAAGGCTGTTAGTGTGAATCAGTGAGAACACAATCACACAAACACAACAATGAAACTGCTGCTTATGTGAGCTGGAGAGCAACAGCATGACGTGGAGCACAGTGTTAGTTCAGAAAGAACACTGAAGTGAAGCTCATGATGGCTGACTGACACCTGACATTTGCTTGTCAGTGGTTGGACTTTCTCTGGTGTTACTTTCATAAAAAGTGAAATGTCACATCAACAGTCTTCCAGGATGAATCCATTATTTTTGGCGGCGGGAGGAAGAACCTACCTGTAAACACAATGTGATGGAGGCTGATAGCTTTAAGTTACTTTACTGAGAGTCGGCTCCAAACTAACAGACACCGTGTAAAGAGTGTGGCTGCATTTTGGCCAAAAAGTTGAATGTAAAATTTGCAGTTTGCATGCAGCTCTACATCCAATTAACCAGTTTATTCGTGTTATATTCCTCAATAGTTGTGAGCTGGATTGACAGCGGATATAGTTGTATTCTCAGCGGTATAATTTCAATATAAAATAATGAGATTCAAATGATTTAACATGTGGCAAATAGCAGCTTTTCACCCTCTGATGCCAAGTCTATCATATCTGATACATGAGTTTTTGAGACATCATCAGCGTGATATATATTGATGTTTTTCCTGTTAAACCTGATGCATACGTTCAGACACATCAAGTGCAAGAATAATCCACCACAGATCAGTATTTCATGCACAGAAAAATTATACAAATTAAAGCTAATATATGCCCCAATTTAAACTGATTTTTAAAAAATTTGTCAGAAGGTTCAATAAACACTTCATTTTTTTTTTTTTTTTTAAAATTGATTTTTCTGGCAATTATTTCAGGGTTCAGGCTTTTAGAATTCTCTCATGCTAATGAGACTAGTGGGCAGAGAGCGCTGTGGCCCATTCACTTCATCTACAGATCGATTTTTTTTATTCCGCAACCAATCAGTTTGTTAAAGAGTCAGTATGATTTCTGCCAACCAAGATTTTCTTTGTTTGACTACAGTCCTGGTAACATCCAGTCTTATGCATACAGATGTAGAGCACAGCTTTTATAACTCATCACTTAACTCTGTTACTGTCATGATAACATTTATACGGATGTCATTTGCTGCCACAGCTTCCAGCACCATCCAAACCTCTGAAACACACTGTCTGGGTGTCAGTTTTTGTTGCATTTAGAGAAACTGTACACTAGTGCGAGAAACATTTGACTGAGGCGACTCAGGGTCGGGTAGGCTAAAGAAGGCTGCGGCAAAACAGCCTGGTTTAATTTCTGCCTCGCTGGATTGATGTCACATTGTGTTGTCTAATCAAGTTACACTCGTGGTTCTCATTTTGTAAGATAAACACTGCAATTCTACTGTTTAACTCAGCAAGAGACGTTCAGAGTAGAAAATCACATCTCTGTGTTTTAGTGTCTGAGAATCCCTCAAACTCTGCTGCTTGAACTAAACCACCTGGATCTTATATATAATGTCACATTAATAACTGCTAAAACCGCATTAAGTGTCTGCTGAAATGTTCTTTTTGATTAGCGGCATGCAGTTACTGCAAGTTAACAGTGATTAGTCAGGATTAGATGAGGTTTTAAGATTCCCAACACACCTTGACTGAACAGATTCAGTGTTGACCAAGTCCCTCTAAAATATAAATTCAAATAATTAGCATTTGTACATCTTCCACCACAACAGGCTTAAATGTGTTACTTTGCACAGAAATGAGGGAAAAGAAGCAGAGAAAACAGATTAGAGACAAAAGTGTAAATTACCACAAACTCTGAATATGTGCTGGCAACAGAGGCTATGCTGAAGTTACGCTGTGGACTAGCAGCGGTCAGCAACGCACCACTCAGAGGCGTACCCTTCAGCTGTGCCTCATTCTCCTTGTTGCAGCCCTGCGGTCTTGAGTGGGGGGGTTTACCGCCACCTGGTGTCCGCGACGCTGGAACCTGGATGATGCAGAGCGGGAAGGAAACGCATCAGACAAGTAATGAAGGAATCACTCCACTCCACTCCATGCTACAGAACAGCAGAATGAAGGGATGAAGTAGAAGAAGCACATTTACTAGTTAACATGCAGAAGGCTGTTTAGTAAAGGTCTCTGCACAAATGATGTGTATTTATCAAGTAGTAACCTCCAGGGCTAAAAAACAAAGTCAACACAGAAGTGCCAAAACCGAGTCATTCCCAAGATCCCCACATGAAAATGTCAGAATTTACAGCAGAAATAAGCAGCCTGGTACAAAAAATGGTTTTGATCTCTACAGCTAATTTCTCTGTTAATGACTCTACTGTGGGTGAATATTTATATTACTCACCCAATTAAGACTTAAGCTTGTGCATAATTCAGGGACAGTTCTCCATGACAACATTGTAGGCTAACGACCTCGGCATGGTCGACCTCAGCTACACTCGTGCTCCACCTCTATGCTAATTTTTGGATTAGTCAAGCAATGCTAAGTTGCCAACCACAAGAGCCACCACTCTGAGCTTCCCTACCCTAACCGGAATAGGGAGCTAGGTCTGGCTATGAAAGCAAACCTTTGGGTGATGTCAACCCGTCTTTATCTACCTGGTGAGAACACAAGGTGGTACAGCAAAACTCTAGGTCCTATTAAACCAAATAGCATGGATGAATGTGACTCCTATAGTAGGTTAAATCTGTCATAACCAGACTTATAGCCACAGCACTGTGTTATGCTGGAGAATGGTCTGGCTGCATCCATTCTCATTGTGCTAGGGGTAGTGGTGGTTGGGGGCTCTGGTTTATTAGTATTTCTTTAAACCAATCATATTCCTTTCACTAAGCCCAGGATGCAGCAACGATGCCCCTGCAACATTTTCACACAGGGAGGTGAGCACTGTTATAAAAATGGCCAGTTCACCAAAGGAACCAAAGAAATGGCAGATTCATGCCAACAGTCTACAAATGGTGAGTCTATAATCAGCAAATGACCTGTCCTGACAGTCAACCGATTTGATTCGCATGAGCTGCTGTTTGTTTAATGTCTTGTAATTTGACTAAATGTCTCTTGCAAATGTAAAATGTCAGAAAGCTTGATGAAAGATGGATGTGACAGTTCTGACATCTTGCATCTACTTCGTACTTTCTGTGATTAAAAGAGTGAAACCGACCTTATTAGCGGAGAGAGGAGGGCGGGGCACAGGTGAGCGACACACAGTTCCTCCATAGACGGAGCGCATGGTGCTGTTAGAGGTGCCACTGGAAATGCTGGAAGTTGCATTAAACTGATGAGAGAGACAGGAGGGGGGTTAGTGGTGACGAGGTTGCATTTCTAATAAAGCAAGAATTTAAACTATATCTTTAACAGAAAGGCAGAAAGTCAGTTTACCAGCTTTCTTGTTTTATTTGGAGTATTGGAGCCGAGGAATCTGCGTTTGGTCGGGGTTCGTACTGCTGTTCCGTACAGCATGTCCTCCTCCGTCTGTTTGCTCTTCTTAAGGTGCTGTTAGGATTTTGGAGAGAGGAAGCGTCAACACATTTCCTACCAATCGCACAGGCTAAACTTAAATCACAACAACTTGTTTACCCGTTCTTGTTTCTCCTTTTCCTTCTCTATTCGGTGCAGCTCCCACTGCTCCTCCACATACTGCAGAAACTTCTGGCCGTTTACTAGAAACTCTCGGCCCTGTTCACCTTCCCAAGTGTCAATCTGGGCTTTTAATTTCTTTTCCAGCTAAAAAAAAACAAACACAGACACACACATAATTTTATACTCGTTACAAGATATTTTCTGCTTGGAAAACAACAGGCAGCCTTTATGTCTTACCTTTGGCAGGCTTTTGTGCAGCTCAGACCTCTGTTTCTCCTCTTTCAGAAGATTCCCTCCTCTGTTAGTGAACCTCGCCGGATCTGTTGCTTTTTTCTACAAATTATAAAGACAGGAGTTTTTTTTTCTGATATGCCGCTCTGTGACCAGGTAAAATAAGTAAGTGCATGGGTGTGATGGTATAGTCAGCAGTCTGAACAGCAAAAACTGGGCTGAAAAGCTCATTCAGGGCTCCAGACTAACTTTTCCAACAGTTGCAGTCGTCCTTCCTGCTGACGATTTTCAAATATCTACATTTTTTTTCCATCTCAACTATATCACTTGGTAATAAACAGCGCATTTACAGTAACAATAACAATTTTCTGTTTTATTTCAAAGGAAAGAAAAACTTTAAGTTGTATTTAAGGGCAAAAAAGTCAAAAGCAATGCAGTTCCATCAGTTCACGTCTCCCTACATGGTTTACTTGGGTAGTGTACTTCTTGCAACTCTTCCTGCAGATACTGAGCTACACAGCACCATGATCCTTTGTTGTTGCAAAATCTCAGCTGCATAAACTGCTTTTTAAATCACTTTTAATTCCTCTTCAGAAATACTGCCATCAGAAATCTGGACTGTTGTGGCACAGGAGGGACTGAATGAGCTTTTGTTTTGAAAAACGAATCAATAGTTTCTTTAATTGTCACCAAAAGTCTCTGTTAGTTTTCACTCTGTCCTGGTGTCTTACAGGATGTGCAATTATGATGTTAAAATTTAAAAAAATGAATACTTGCACTGCCTCCAAAATGGCCCCAAAATGCATTAGTTTCAATTTGGAGACCTGTTAATTATTTCCCAAAAAAAAAAAAATCACAACGAAAACTGGACGAGATTTCTTTTTCTGTTGAGCTTGTTTTTTCAGCAAAACCACCGGCTGCTTGTGAAATTCAATCCCATTCTCACAGTGAGCATAAACTATGCTCGTTCCATAGTTTCTATTCATATTGTTTACTTTCCTCCCACATGTATGTATAAATGCTTTTTCTGTCCTGATTTAACTTTCTAATTTATTCTATTAGCAATATCAGAAATGCTTTTTATTGGGTAACCATAGCTGCCTATTATCTGCTCAATCTAATTGGCCATAATTAGACAGTGGGACAGGAGTCTAAATATACTCACCTCCAGCTCAAGGAAGAGTCTCCAGCTTTCTTCCCATCTGTGAACCCCGTCAAAGAGCTCTTTGTGATCCTCGTAATGCTGCTTCAGTCGCTCGATCTCAGCGTCATGCAGGCTCAACAGCTCTTCAGTAAAATCCTCTGAAACAGTGAAGCACAGTCTCAGCAAAAGAAAAACTCCAACATGACAGATACAGCTACTAATAAAACCCAAACCAGAGAACCTACCGCTAAAATACGGTGCAAAATCCTGCCGCTGGTCAATGCTGAAGAAGCACTTTTCCCAGAACACGGCGACCTCGGACCGGATGGCTTCTGTGACGTTACGGATGTTCAGCAGTTTGAGCTCCTCCAGACGCTGCACTTCTGCTTGTAACTGCAGAGGCAACGTAAAGAGTAAACTGAACTGCAAAACGACAACTACAGCACCAGAAGCCTTGGCAGTTCTGAAGAAAGCTGAGAATGGAACTCAGCAGTATATCCACTTACCGCCTCCAGGTTCCTCTTCCTGGATGTGACCATGTGTTCGTTGAAGGCCTCCCTCTCCTCCTGGGGAGTCTGCAGTCGGTCCCAAAGCTGCTGGATCTTCTCTCTGTGACTCTCACATGTCGCCTCGATCTCAGCTTTACGCTCCTCTAACTGTAAAGTGGTGTCAGTTAACAATGCAGTCTATAGCTTAGTCACCTATGATACAAATTTGAATGGACGATACAGGAGCTCTCACACTCAGAGAGTCAACCTTCAAGACCTGATTTTAATCTGTGCAACCCTTTAAAAGCTTGATGTTACGAAGCTAAACGTAATGCTAGGATATAAAAGTCATCTTGCCTGACAAAGAAGCAGTTTGAGTGACGTTATATTGTCTCTGGAAAGGCAGAAGGAGTCTTCATCCTCACAGACGACGTCCTTCTCGAAGCTGGTCTCGGGGATGTGGTCCAGCTCCTGCATGTGCAAGATGATCTGCTTTTTGACGTCCACGAACTCAGCATGTCGCTTTGCCTGTAAGCATGAAGCACAAAACCATCAGGTCAGGGACTGATTAGACTGTTTACAGCAAATGTTTGTGTCTTGATGTAGTGACCTGCTATTGGACATCAACCTGATAAGCATTTTCACAGCAAAACTCATCTACATATCTTTTTTTTGTGTGAAATACGAAAAAAATACAACAACTCAAGAGGATCTATCACCCCGGAATGTGCAGACAATTTTCAGGAATGTGACGATAATTTTTGGGGCAGTCCAAGCTACACTAATTACAAAAATAACCTGCAGCCTTTTCCCACAAGATAACTCTCAGCAGTAGCAAATTATAAACTACCAGCCTGCAGAAAGACCTCCCTTATTTGCTAAAGAGATGTAATTAGAGCACAAGTAGTCCATGTTATTTAAAAGAGGGTGATCAATGGGATGGCTGTGACAAAAGCTGTTCTCCTACAGCCATCTGATTGGGGTTTTTTTTTATTAAAATAATACATTTCAGGTGAAAAAAACTGTAACTAAACAGAGATGCTGGTTCCTAAAAACTTAGAGAACCAGCATCTCTTACTCTTTTCCATCATTTTTGATCTTTAGATTCGTGAGCCCTACGCAAGAACTCACACAAACAGATTTGTTGTTAAGGGACACATGTTAGGCTGCAAGTAGCTGATCAATTGATTAGTTGTTTGGTCTATAAAATGCTGAAAAATGCTGATTAAAGCCCAGGATCGTGTCCTCGAATGTCTCCTCCCCCCGCCCATGTCCCAAAGATAAACAGTTCACTGCCATATAAGAGGAAAGAAACCAAAAATGTAACAATGTAAAATTAAACCTATCAATAAAAAATGTTGGTGAATAATTTAATATCTTGAAACTGATCAATGAATTGCTGCAGCTCTAGGTACAGGCAAGCAATTGAAGAGAATTTGCAGCTAACACCAATATGTTTGTACTTCTCTCTGAGGTGTAAACAAAAGTCAGGAGTTTAGACAGACCTCCTTCCTGCACACTATAAACACTCCTTTAAATGAATAAGGTTTAAATATGCTAACATAAAATTTATTAATTTAGCATCTTGCCAATTTACTGAGAGTATTTCTAGAGATATGTGGTCACAGCAGCGTTCACACTTCTGTAGTTAAATAGGAAGTTGCATCAGGATCATTATTCAGGTCTCAGTCTTGCATCATAGTTCACAGCTGACAGTGTAACATCCGACCGCAGTGCTGTCTCTCTAATATCTCAGGGACAGTTGTTCCCTCAATGCCTCCTGCATTAGTCATGAGCTGCTTTGCCTTAGATCAAGATGTTGTAGCATCCAACTTTATTAAACCAATCCCTCTTTATTTCTGTCACAAATATCTGATAACACACCACTGACAAATGCACCATGACCATTTTCTAATTTCTATGCTCCTATAACACGACTACTGATGCTGCTGCATGTGTTCTGTTGTTATGAGCTCATTTCCAGCAACAGACAGACAACAGACTGTGAAATCTTTCTTTAAACTGTTTTGACATCTTTGCAAATTTGTCAAGAAAGAAAGATCCTGTACACCAGTACGATCAATAAAGTGTGATACGAAGCTGAATTTTCTTTTCTTCAAACTAAATCGATGGCTTCCAACGCAGCTGCATCCAAAGTATTTGGATATTTAAAAATCTCCTTCAATAAAAAAAAAAAAAACATTATTCTGAATGAAATTTTCCAAAACACAGCAATATCACAGGTGTTGATTAAATCTGAACAGTGTACACCTCCTCATGAACAGCTGGTACAAGTGGATTATCACAGGTTTGTGCCATTAAGAGAGTTTAGTAAATCTGACTAGAAACAAACAAATACAGAAGGTTCATTATGTTACACAGCAGTTTGAACCCACAAACAAACAGCTTTTCTCTTCATCTAGTCAGAATCATGGAACCATGCAGGTGGAATTGTAACAAACAAAGAGCGCTCCCACCTTCTCTATGTTCTGGTTGGCGATGTGCTGGCGGAAGTTCTCCAGCTGCTCCATCGAGGGCACAATGTCCGCAGCGATGCCGTACGGCATGGAGCACATAATGTCTACCAGGTCCTGGTCCTGCTCCAGCAGAAGCTTCAGCTGCTGCATCCGCTGAGTCCTCTCCTTCATCAGAGCCTCCACCTGTGTGCGGATGTTCTTCTCCTGCTGCAGCATGGTGACACCTTCCTCCTCCTGAACACACGGAAGATCACAACAGATTTACCTCCACTGATCGCTCAATAAAGCCTGTAAAGCTGTTCAGCACCAATCAGCTGATAATCACAATGATTGAGAGGCAGGAATTTAAGATAGAAATAGTTTCTAAATGCATACATGGTGAGTAGGCAGGTTATTACTGTATAAAATGCAAGAAATGTGGGCGGACTCCCTCTGCTGGTGCTGTCAAAACAAAGTGCTGTGAAATATATGAGAGTAAATTATCCGTCTGATTCTCCATCTGGCTGGGAGGCTTCTTAACTCTCCTGATTAGACTACACATCAGAGGTAAACGCACACTTAATAACACAGAAAATGATGCCGTCACCTCAAACACAGGGAGCTGAAGTTCCAAGCAGAGTTTCTCCATGTCTGTCCTGCAGGCCTCAATGCTGGTTATGAGCCTCTTTTTCAGAGACTCCTCTTCTTTGATCATCATGTCCAGAAGGCTCTGTTGGATAAATACAGTAAATGAAGTCAGCACATGTGGACGGATGGATGCGTACATTTTGAAATTCTTACCAATATCCAATAACAGTTTTTTGTTTTAATCCCACTAGACATCTATTTTCAGCCACAGACTTAACCTGTGCTCCTCAATGCAGTGACAGATATCTACAAATGCAGCTTTATTTATTAGGAACCAATCCTGGTTTATGAAAACACAGTGAGCACAAAGTACGTGAACTCAGCTGTACAAAATATGAAATATTAATTAGTGACCAACACAACCACATCTTTTTATCCACCAGTCACAGTTTAGCCTCATGTGGAAGGAGGTTTTTGTAATCATTAAATATCAAAAGTCTGTTACTCATTACAAAAGATTTCAGAAAGGTACACAGCATTCTTCATCTGGCAGTGAATCCAGAAGTTGAAGAAAACATGAAGGACCTCAAAACAAAACTGCCAAAAGTGGAATAATATTTGACGACTTCTCAGATAATTGTGTTTTTTTAAATCACAAACTTTTTATAAGCAACATTACTGCGTACATCAACTACTAGACTTAATATTCAGCATTTCTACGATTATATTATGTGAATATTTTACAACTGATTCCCAGTACATCAAATTAATTTAAAAGTGTGATACTTTGGCTCGACTCACTCTGTGGTCTTAAGCAATTTCAATCTTTCTGACCGCTTACACGTCACGAGCAATAGACCATCAACACTAGAGGATGAATGTTTTCTTGGCCGTTTTTATAAAAGAGGAAACTGGACATTTGCCTAAAAAAATCAAGCTGCAACCCAAACCTAAAAACGTTTAATGATTCATGACCAGATGTCTCACAGTGTAGTTTGTAGATGGCAGCAGGGCTTTCAATGCTCTCCTCTGGCCTAGTTTCACTCCCACTGATGTTTTTGTACAGAAACCCCCCAATGATCCCCTCACACCTACATGCATACCAAAACCCATTCAACCACGCCTAACTTAAAATACAAGTGTAACCTTTCTGCACACCTCCAAGTTTAGCTTGTTTAATGTATTAAATGTGTATCAAGGTGAACTGATTACTTTACCCTTATATTTTATTATTAACGTGTTTAAATGTATTTGTTTGTGTTTGTTGTAGCTCTATCTCTAGTCGAAACCCAGCTGAATCCCTGGCTGACCTGACAAACAGCAGAGTTATCACTACCCACATGATGCTGATGGTGTCCGTGTGTTCCTGATGTCTCACCTTAATGTGGTTCTTGACTACATTGGTTCTCTGCAGCCTCTGGTCCTCTGGGATACCGATCTCCTCCCAGATGTCCTTCAGGTGACACAGAGCTTTATTCAGGCACGACACAGCCTCTGCTGCGAGCACCTCGCTACGGGACGAAGAGGCGTAATTAGATGATTTATCAATAAACTAACACGTTTTATGGTAACATCACTAAACATAAAACACAGGGATCCAATCATTTCAGCTAGCTAACAGTTAGCTACTCTATCTGACGTTAGCTAAAATCATCAAACGTAGCTGTAAAAACGCGGACTCTGCCGCGAAATAAGGCTTCGACCTTACCTTTTTCTCATCGTTATATCCCAGGCTTGTTTTTAATCACCGGTGAACACTTTAAAACAACCGAAACTTGTCCCAGAGACAAGTGGCCGACCGTCGCCGCTGCGCTGCTCTCACTGCGGTCCGTTTGTACACAGTTCAAAATACGCGTACCGCAGCATTCTGCTCTCTGATTGGCTCGTTCTGTGAGTGCGCTCGTTTTGTAAAACCACAGCGGGCCGGCGGTAGTTTCGTCCGTTGATCGTGAGAGGAAGCCGCCCCTTGCCGGACGACTCATGGTATAAAACAAGTACGTCGGTTTCATTGAGGGAGCAGCAGCAGCAGCATTCTCAACGTGCTACAATGGTGCCGTTGTTAATTTTAGACTGATGAAGTCACTGCAAACCAAACCGCTGAAACTAGTAAAAATAACCACAGGTGGAAGAAGTAGTCACATACTGTACTTGCGTCAAAGTACTAAAATATTCAATTAAAAGTAAAAGTCCTGCATGACAAACTTCCCTCAATTAAAAGTACAGCAGCAAAACCTAGTAAAATGTAGTGAAGGTATCAGTGAAAGTACTGGTTTGGTTTCTCTGATCAGAGGTGTTGCTGAGATCTTGGCACATTGGAAAGCTTAATCCAGTTCAGCAGTTTTTTTTTTCTATTTTTACCCTGATAACTGCACCATTTTCAAGTTATTTCAGTGTAAAGAGAATATTAAATGGCAATATCAGATCATCCCACTTACTGTGTGGAGTTAACTCATGTCTACACTGATATCACAGTGACTGCAAGAAGGGAGACCAGTGGTTCATCTACACTGTGCCCTGGAATTAGTCTTATTTCTGATGCTTTGTAAATTTAAGTCATATTACAGGTGTGCCTTTGAATTACTTATTTTCATTAATTTTATTTAATAATAATTTGGGTGAACAACCTTTTAAATAGTCCAGGAAAAGAGGTGCTGATGATCAGAAAGTTCACCCATGAAGTCCCAGAACACAACACCCCAAACAAATAACTAATTGACATCACAGCAAATCTACTGACAAAAAAAAGCTGAAATTCTGTCCATAGTCCAAAGATAGTTTATCCAATTCCAGCAGCTTAAAATACATTTTAAAAAGTGTTTTAATTCTTAATCAGCTACCTGTTGCCATATGTTGTCAGTTTGAATAATTAGAGATGCTGCTGAAAATGAACACCGCTTCCTCTGACCAATAAAATATTATATTAGATTATGAACAGCGAAGCATCAGTGTGTCAGCAGCTTGTTACTGCTGCAGTTTGAACTACTTTAAATCCAGTTTTATATTCAGGAACAGCAGCAAAAACATGAGGGCTCCGAACATGATTAAATGGAGGGAAAGAAGAAAAAAGTTCTCATATTTAAACCCGTTTTCATTTTTTCTCTAATGTTTGATTTATACTAAGATATTACATCACTGGAACATTTATCTGAATGAAACCATGTAAAGAGTTTAAAGGGAAAAGTAGGAAGAAGACAAAAAAGTCTGAAACAACTGGTTTAATGTGTCGCTATGTGTTGTGGATCATAGGTTTGTTATATTATCCATCGGGTCAAATCTGAATCAGACACATGTAGTGCAGCAGATAGACAATATGTCCCTCTGAAATGCAGTCGTGGAAGGAAAAAGTAGCATAAAATGAAAATACTCAAGTAAAGTACCTCAATATTGTGGTAAAAGACAGTACTTGAGTAGATGTATTTATTCAATTTCCTCGCTGTAAACAACCGCATGAAACAGAAAAACAACAAATGTGTAGAAAAAAAACAAAAACATTTATTCACATTATACATCTTTACAGTTCTTTTGTGGCACAAACAGACCAAAAGCGAACGTTTGTCAATCTGGGGAATGGATGACGAGTGGCGGCAGGAATGCGTCAGGTTTCTGTCCTCAGTGAAGCGCTGACAGGCTTCATACGTGGTTGTCCAGCAAAGACTCCAGCAGCCTGGAACTGTTGGTAATTGCAGTTGTTACCACGATGAATTTATAACCTGGAACAAGAGAACAGGAATGCTTGTTAGTTTCAGGTCCTCTGACTGTAAATGAGAGAATCTGAGGAAATCTGCTGAGGCTTTCTTTAACGAGTTTAAGTAATTGTGAAATATGTAACTTCCAATTATTGTCACTGACATAACGATTTTGTTGTGTTCATAGGAGAAATGAACACTGTGTTATGGGTACATTTATTCAATTGTAGTTAATCGGTAGTGCAATGATAAAAAATATTCTACAAGCAGGCAAGTCTACAGTCTATTATATACAGATAATAATGTTTGTTAATACATTTATGTGAATTGTAATATAGTTGCATTTTTCATTTTGAAGAAAAACACAGACCCATAAAATAAATACTGATAACTGATTTTTTTTTTAAAAGTTTTAAATGAACTAATGTTGTACGCAAGATTACACAAAGTAAAATAAATGACTGTAACGTGACATGTTTTGAGGGATTATTTTCCAGATGACATTCGATTATTAGAAACTGGTGCACTGAAGGTGGACTCTATGAATATTAATCACATACGAGGTTTGATGAAAAGGTTTGTGTGCAAGCAGACACCTCATACAGTCAAAACACCGTAACTAAACCCAAACCACAGCAACACCAACAAGAACAATTAACCATATTTACCTTTCTCTCTGCCGAGGAAACGAAGAGCTGAGATCTCAGAGAAGGTGCATCCGCCCAGGAACATGACCAGTATGATCCGTTGAGCATCATTCTTGGCTCTTAAATCTGCTCCGTTGCTGCCTGATGGGACAAAAATACTAACATTTAGATGTGGATTTCCATTTTTCTGCTTAAACAGCAAGCTCCTTGTATCATGAATGAGACGTGTTGCTGATCTGACCTGTGACGGCGAATTCGTGCCCATTTAGCAGCCTGGTGACTTCTTCGAGCCCCGCCCAGCCGTCTCGCTCCAACACCTACACATGAAAAACTGTAAAGACTCTTATTGTTGCGATAACAGCAACATAAGTCCAGTTTATTTACTCACCTGCTCGATGAGTTTGCAGCTCAGGGGGACGTAAGCGCCACTGAAGATGTACGCCATGTCTCGGGGGACACGCAGGTCATATTCTTCATCTGACTTTGGCACCTTCACACGAAAGTAATACTAGCCTTTAAAAACATGCTGAATTTTCAGTGTGCCACAGACAAAATATACCCCCGCAGCTTTTCTTTACATGATCTAGATGCTTTCAGGATGTAAACAGGTCAGATGAAGATCACGTACCAGGTTGAGTTTTCTGCTTAAAGCTCTGAAATTGCTCTTCTTTGCCAGAGATGAAAAGGCGTCAGTCAGTTTTCCTGGAAAGAGAAAGAATCAGATCAGGGCAGGTGAAAGCAGATTTGAAAAACCCAGTCTTCTAACGTACACAAATTATGAATCTGTCTCCTACAGATGGAGAGATGCAGAGGTGACAGTGATTAGCGTTAAAGCCTGTTTCACCTGCAGTCTTGTCATTGACCAGTTTGCCCACTTTGCTCTCCATAACAGTGAGCGTCTCGCCCGGCTGCTGCTCAACCAGAAGCCCCAACTGCCTCAGGTTGGAAAACGTGAGCAGGTGATCCACTCCGTAGCTCTGAGGAGGTCAGACAGAGAAAACATCGCACATCAGACCGACACATCTTCATCAGAATGAGAGCATGTTTAACGGCAATACATATTAATAATATTCTACGCTTTGCTCACCGTCAACAAGGATCATAAAGGACCAAAATCAAGTCAAATTTATTCAGAAAGCACATTTAAAAACAACAAGAGCGGATCTGAAGTGCTGTAAAGTCAAACAGCAAACCATAAACGACAAGAAAACACAACAAAAAAAAGACAAATGTGAATAAAGGAAGACAACAAATTCATAACAACACAAAGTTACAGCACAGATAGACGAGCTTTTTATATTTTATATTTGCATTTCATGTTAGTGGACTTTTAAAAATGTCTCATTTTGTGAATATGTATATTTTTAATGACAACATATTGTCTGTGCAGCTTGAAGAACTGCTTCTGTACATTACAATACTAAATATAAAAATAGAAAACAAAATTTAAAATAAAAATTAAAGTAAAAAAGTGATTTATAATAGTATCTTTCAATTCTGCCAAGACAAGTATGAGAACAGCTGATATCGGACATTAAAAAGCCGCCCGCTCGTCTGTTTGTTGCCTTCGTAAAGGTTTGTTTTGAGCCACAGACAGCTGAAAATGAGAAGAAACGTGTCTCTGCTCACCTGAAGATACTGTGCTTTCAGTGAGCGGAAGTCTTTTGGCAGGAGTCCTGTAAGAAAATCACACAGTTGTTAAAACTGCACGAGAGTGATTGAATTTTCTTTTAAACCATAAAAGACAACTCACCGTTTTCTGTGATGGACAGAAGACAAAGCAGCCTCAAACTTTCAATCATGGAGACCTGCAGAAAAGAAAACAACAAACAGGATGCAGATGAGAGTTTTTCCAGCACATTGTTGTTTTTGGATTTGACTCGAGTCTGTTGACAGAAACTCACCTGTCTGTTGATGTGCTCCTCTATGTATGAAATGCATTCACGGATTTCAAATCCTTCAAGTAAAGCTGGGAGAGCAAAAGAAATCAAGATCAGCATCAGTAAAAACAGGAGAACAACACTTGGCTGCAAACACAAACCACATAGTTGAGTTTTAATGATGACATATCAGACTTTAACAGATAGAGAACGATAAAGTCCAAGGAGATTAAATTAGTGCATTAAAGCTGCCAGTGTGTCCAAGAAAATTACGATTAATTACATGAACAAGGCAGTTATAAATCATTATTACATATATGACAACGTGCTTCCCTTTTAAAAGGCTCTGATGGGACATTTGTTACCACCAACATGGAACAAGGAAACGTTTTTTAATCAAACTCCTGAATGATCTGTCTCAAGTATGACAAATCATTTAAATAACTGATTAATTTAGGCTGTTTATCAAGCAAAAAAATCCTACATTTCATGAATCCAGCTTATCAGTTTTACCTTTTTATCACATAATATTCTGAAGCGTTGTTTCTACAAAACAAATAATCTGATTGTGTCACCTTTGCTTCTTAAAACTACTCATTTAATTGCTCAGTTGATCAAAAGAAAACTGATCATCAGCTGTTTTCATGACTGATTAATTGTTTAAAGGCAGAAATGAAGACTTTTCTGTGGTTTTAGCTTTTCCAAATTAAAGATGAGCTTCTTTTCTCTGTTTTCTGTCGGTTTTAACCAGTTTTGTTAAAACTAAGGGATGACATTTTGGTTTATCAAATGGTCAGAAAAAACAGGAAACTTTACATATTTTGTCAAATCATGTAACACAGACCACCTATGGCTAGTGTTGTGTGTAGTCGCCTCCCAAAGGCTTATTCTGAGCCAGAAGAAACCCTGATGAGCTCTAGAGCTAATGCTAAAACCAAAATCTAGTGTAAAGTATTCTTACAGTGTTCCGTCTTCAGCAGCTCCTGAAAATCCTGCTTTGTTTTCTTCTTCATAATCGATTCACTGGCACCGATGTCTGAAACACAACGTGCTGTTCAGTCAGCAGCCTCACAAACATCACCTGAAAGATCAGTCAGATAAACTGCTGTAACACTCACGAAGGCTGAGCAGCCGATGTTCCTGCTTTAACCCTTTGAGCTCCTCCGACACAAACGTCTTCATCTGCTTTATGTCCATCCCCCGACGCTTCTGCAGGATTCAGAAAGAGAAGATGAGAGTGTGAGTTAGTCAGTCACCTTATGACCTGATGAGCGTTCATAGAAACGTTTACTCACATCATAAGCAGTCTGGAGGTTCCTGGCTTTCTGACTGAGGAAGCCGAAGACGTTGGAGAAATGCTCGTTTCTGATTTCGTTGAAAACCTACGAGACACGCGACAGTTCAGGTGTCTAACTTAAAAACCCCGGCAGTGAAACGTGTGCAGCAGGCGGGTCAGCTCTACCTTATCCTGAGAGTTCAGCATGACTTTCAAACTTTTGTCCGAGGAGGTAACGTCGGGACCAAACTCCACACATCCTGCAGGACAGAAGCTGTGATGAGACACGAAAGAATCTGCAACCACAGTCAGTGTGTCTGGAAATGATGCAGCTATTTGTTACTGATTCCTCACTTTAATCATTTATGCTTTAAATGACAAAATAAATGCTGTCAAGGTCCCACAGTAACATCTTTAAAAGTCTCATTTTATCCAACAAAAAGCCAAAAAACACACTGATTTTGTAATAAAGCAACATGGACCAAATGTAAACAACATGGGAGAATTTATGAAATTTGTAAATATTTAAAAAACAAGTTGTTTTAGGCCGGTAGGAGCAGAGTTTTCTCCCTTTGGTGTGAACTCAGCTTTGCAAGTTTGCAAATCTTTTACATGCACAAAAGGAACTAAAGGAACGGGAAAAACCCCAAAAGCAAAATATGAGCTCTTTAATATTTCATTTTCACAACGAAGGTACATGGACCTGGTTGTATCTCCTAAAACGCATCCATTAGCATTTTTAAAAAGAATTCCTTAAGGATTAATTAAGTTTTATCTTATATCATCTTTTCAAAGGTCGTCGGGTGCAGGACAATGATTAAAGAGAATACTAATGTGATTAAAACAGACGGAGAATTACTGCGCTTCATTTCTGCAGCTTTAAATTTGGTAGAACTGAAGTTGAGGTTTTTATAGAACAAGTTATATCAGTGTTAAATGAAGCATGGTTAGAAGATTATTTACTCTCTAATTTACAGTTTTGCTTTGGAAGAAGGAAAAATGTCAGGAGTTTTTTAGATCTTACTCTGGACACATAGAGAATTACTGCATTTCTTTCGTAGAGCCAGAAGTTGTTCATTTTGGCCTCATGGTTACGGAGCTATGACTGAATTTGGGGATGTTTTTTAAAATGGACAGTACATGAAGTGACCTCCGGCTTGAGGAGCTCATGTTTGAATTTTCATACTTAACAGCGACATGAAAACACTGGTGTGACCATGTCTGTCTAATACATCAACACCCTGAACACGGTGAACTGATACCCACCACATTTGATTCTAAATATATCATCCACCAGTCCTTCATAGACGACTTGTGAGCACAGAGGAGTGACAAAGTCCACATCTGCCGAGAAAACAATGAGGTTACTGCAGGAGGAGAGCAGCACAAAACGGCTATCCACAGACAGAAAGATGTTTTACAGCTGCTCACCTCTGTCGATTAGAAAAACGTTGCCTATCTCTGCGTGACGAGCTTTTTGTTCTCCTTCTTCGACCTGCTCCCTCCACGACTCGTACGCCATCTGGTGTCACACGCAAAGATCTCAAACACAGCAGCCAACACACATCGCAGTGGATCTGAAAGTTAAACTCGTCGTCATGATCCGTCTCTGATCATACTGCACCTTGGAACACCGTCCGATCCCGTAGACCTTTGAAAACGGACCATAGAGGGAGTGGAGGAGGTGCAGAGCGCTGCCGGCCGTCCTCACCCAACGCTGGTCTCCTGCCTGCAAAAACACAAGTTTTGAGTGTAAGACTTTGTTATTTGTAGCTAAACTGCTGTTTCAATGATGAGCTACAAAGCAGGAAATAGACAGGTCCAGTGTAAAGAGCTCGAATCGTTTGGTTAACGGTGATTCGTTAGGATTCCCTTTGAGCTGACAGCTTCAAATACTGGGAATTAAATTTTAAAATAAAGAGTGAGACTTGATTAGAACAGTTGAACTTGTCACATTTTGGCTTTTTTAAAGATTGTGACGTTTGGAAAATATTCAGGGGGGAGAATACAGGGGATTCATCCTCTTCAATATTTAGAACAAGTGCATTTGTCTCCCTTAAAATACAAACGTTAAAGAAGCAAAAGGCTTTAAGAATGTTTTCCTTTACACAAATAAAGACGTTTCCACACTATACGTATACAGAGAAGCCATGAACGCCTGTAAAAGGATCTCCAGACCGTTTCTTTTTGTGCATCCCATAATGTTAAAGTGAAATCTTCAAAAGTTGGAACTGATAACAGTTGTGGAACTTGTGGCTTCAGAATTACAGTTTTGTTGACCTGGGGACAGCGAAATTAAGTTGTGATGTTTTAATCTGATATGATGAACTCACTAGCAGACAGTGTATTTACATATCTAGAATAGAATAGAACAGAAAAGCTTTATTTTCATTACACACAGTATTTGTACAACAACGTTTGCAGCAGTAGTAGCATTCACTTTTTTTTTAGCTCTGTTTTTGGTCTCTATCAACTCCTGTAGGAAATATCAGTGCCTTTAGCTGCTGAATGCTCCACTTTTGTCACCTGCTGGCTCCTTGACTGTGTCTGTCTGCTGTTGGGTGCTGAGCAGAAGTGTACTGTATGTATTTAGAGCTTTTCTCTGAGAACAGCTGCCTGCTGTGGACCAAAATAACCTGACAAGAGTGGTGACAGCAAACTATAACGGTAAAGCTGTGGGCCAGTCAGCTACACAATGAGCAAAGAGCCGCAGATTCAACTGATGGTGCACAACTGTGAGAGAACCCGGCTATATTTGCACCGTACGATGATAAAAATAGAGATTTTAGATGATTTAAATGATTTATCAAATATCCAACTTGTCTGTTAATTGACAAAAGAATTCTATATTTACCAGGAAGTTGTCTCGAAAGAATTCTGGCAGCTCCAGACTGATGATGTCGTCGTCCAGAGGAAGGAGGTAAAAAGCCCATTCATCAGTGGTCACATCTGTGGGGAAGCAAAAACAACATCAACACTTCTTCTCACTTTTCATTCATTATTTCTGGTCAAACAAAAATCAAAGAGGCTCACCACCAAACATGCCCTGCTCCTCCAGCACGGCCTCACAGGCGTAGAACTGCAGGATAAACAAGAGTCAGCAGGTTAATGTCAGGAATTTGATCCAACACGAATCTAAGCAAAGGACAGCAGAGACAGGAATACCTTCTGAGGAGTAAAGATGATCTTGTATCTTCTAAATTTTCCTGCTGCCCTGTCTGCATTGGCCACATCTGGAATAAGAAGAAATACAGCATAAAACACCAGCAGTTATTTAGTAGGTTTGATGTTCAACTTTCAGTGAATTCAAGAAGCCAATACGTGTTTTTAGGGTCAGTTTTTGATACAAATGAGTAAGTCTGGCTACCAGACAATCTCAATTTGAGATATTTAAACCTATTTTTTCCTTATTTAAATGCCAACACTTTATAAAAAAAAAAAAAAAAGTAAATACACAGGATTATGACTCTGAAGAGACACTTAATGCTAATTCTCTTTACTTCAAAATTTCAGTTCTCAATTCTAGTTGGTAAATTCTAACATCTCACATGTATGAACTGTTGAACACTAGTAAAGCTAATCAGCACTGGAATGCTGTTTAAAAAAATAAATAAATAAAAAAAGTACATTTCATTCCATATATATGTATATATATTGACATTTGGTGACATATCACCACTGCTGGAAGCACTTGGCTCTCTGGTTTTGTGTTTCTCTGTGGATTTTAATAACGTTACATTTAGTCAGCTTGTAGTTTAACTTATATATACATATATTTAAAACAAGTAAATAAACTAACCAGTAACACTAAAAGTAACAAAAACAAAGCTGATTTTCTAAGATTCTGAATTTTACATAAAAAAATTGAAAAAAATTTCAGTCATATCATATGTTTTATGTGTATTTGTTGTCATTCATTAACTATGTAAATGTAGGGTTTGATTATTAATGATACTGAGCTCAAGAAATACAGCAACTCTGCTTACCACATATCCACTTCACAGTTTGTATTCTTGGCCGGATCAGAAAACAGAGTCTACAAAAGGAAAAGCAATGCAGCAGAGTCAGGATGTCACATCAGGCGTGTTTGTAGAAATCTGCATTAGTATGAAGACGCAGGACTCACTGATCTGAGGTGCTGATAACAGGTTTGTATTCCACTTTGTAGAGTTTGTCGACTTCATGTTGCTGCCAAAAAACAAGAAAAAAAATGTTTGAAAAAGATATCGGAAGTGCATTTTTTCTCAAGGGAGTCTTTATTAGATGAGTAAGCAGAGTGAAAGCTGATGCGGTTCACCTTTAGTGTTGACACATTTGCAATACGATCCAGCGGGCTCATCAAGTCCGCCTCGATGAAGAGGTCTTTCTTCCCTGGAAGCTGTGTGACAAAAGAGGGAGATTGAAGAGTGAAGATCTGGGACAGTCTGTCCAGCAGCAAACACACACAATATGTTTTGTGTTGTTCACGACACAAACAGGACGCTTGGGTATCGTTTTCCACCGATAAGGTTTTCACAGGGCTGACATCTATTTTTATTAAAAACAACAAAATGTTTGCCTCATCACAGATGAGATGTGGCCAGAAGTGCAACATCTGTTTTGCAGCAGCTGCTATTTAAGTCCTGCAACATAATTTAGTATAAAATAGAGCTGCAAGTGTTAATCAGTTACATCATGTATCCTTCACCAATGGAAACTTCAACCACAATATGATCCTTCACTCCTCGACTGTTATGTTCTCAGTGCATTTATGTCTCATTTTCCATGTGCAATAAAGTCTTCCTTGTTTTAACGCATCTAAAATGTTATTATAAGCTTATAAGCTGAAAATAATTATGTGGATTTGACTGTTCCTTAAAATAAAACTTATTCCAACTACAGCTGCAATGATGAACCAATTCAATCGATTATTTGCAAATTATTAAATTAATCACAACTATTCAGATAATTGATTAATTGGTTTGAATTTTTTTTTTCAAGTAAAAAAGGTTTAAATTATCTGAATACAGCCTCTACAATTTAAATTTCTCACAATTTTCTGCAAATGACAAATGAATTAATCTGGAAAACAATACAATAAAAACAATTGTTTATTGCAACCCTGGTGTGAAAATATCTAGCTTATTTTGTGTTTTGGTAACTGACAGTTGCGTAGTCAAATAATTAAGCACGTGCAGTCACATTATGCTCTGTTGACATGTTAGATGTACAAGTCATTTTGCACATTTGAGTTTTCTGCATCTTTGCACACATGTTCTTCATACTGTACACTTTGCACACTACATGTGACAGATATATTCTATTATCCAGCTGAGAGTCAGTACGTTAAAATACTTCTGTGAATAGCTTTGTGCCAGAAATATTTAATGTTCAGTGTCAGATGTTGGTTTTTGACTGTGATCGCAGCTGCTGTAACACAGGCGTGTCCTCAATCAAATATCTATCTATATGACTGGTGGTATGTGTGCAGTAGAAGCCAGGTGGCAGCCAGCCAACCCAAACCAATCAGCGGCACATAACTGGGGCTTGTTCCTACCTGTTCCAGCAGGTAGATGAGCTGATCTCTGGCCAACCTCTTGAGCAGAGAGAAGTCAGGGAGCTCCGGGGAATCTCTCCTGGCACTGTTCGCCATCCTGGACCACGACAGGGACGGTCACTCATCCACTGTTCACATAAAACGATATTTATATACCGTTATTACACCACAAATGCAACGACAGAAGAGCTACAATCCACACAAAAAAAAAAACACAGAAGAAGCAAAAATCTGTGATTCATCAATACGCTAGGTTAGCTTGTAGGCTAAAAACACAGCTGTCACACCCCAGCAACGTAAAACACTAGCTTTTAAAAGTTGACATCAATATGGCATGTTTCCCCCTAAAATAATTCACTAAATAACATAAACTAGGCCTTGTACGCTTGTTTAAATATGAGTAAAAAGGCGTTTAGCTGATATTAGCTGCTACCTTCTTCCGTAGCTACATGAGCGGAATAGTTCTCATCGTCGACTGTTTCCCTCCGGACGCTATAGCGGACGGACCGCTACACCTCAAGAGGAGCGTCCAAACGTTGGAGTTCAAACTTTGGATTTTCTGACACCGAGCTTCATGTAACTTCCCACCATGAATTCAGACGCGATTTTGTTGTTGGAGACGGTGAATTTTGCGGCAGAGAAACATCGGAACCAGCGACGGAAAGATCCAGAAGGAACCCCGTACATTAACCACCCCGTCGGTAGGTGGGAGGCTTTTAACCTGCTGGGATGCCTTAAAATGTGAAGATTAAGTCTGTGTCGCTCCTCAGAGAAGAAACAAAAAATGGATTGTGTACCTTGATAAATAAAAAGACAAATTTGGACATTTAATGTGATAAATTGGTTACATCTCAAAGTAAAACCAAAGAGATCCGAATCACGATAAATATTTAAAAACACACTTTTATTTGCAATTGTTATCTAAATGTTATTATTTATGATAATTGGGGAGAGTCAAATATTAATACTCATCATGTTAGCAAACTAAAGCAACATTTATTGGATTTGAAGCTAATTTAGATCTTAAAGGAAACTCTTGCACATAACATTTTGTGCCACTTCAGTTATTTCCGATGCAAACCAGTAATAATTTATTTATTTGTGAATCTTCTTTCCCCATTTTGTTTGCTGATTATTCAAGATTCAAGATTTGTTTATAGTCATTTTATTGTATATTGGCATACATACAAAAAAAACAACATGCTGTCCTTCCAGTTCAGTGCAAATACAAACAATGACAATAAATATATACAAGTCACTATCTATAAAAATACAGCTAAGAAACATTGATTAAAAAAAGCAGCACAGTGCAGTGGGTGTCAGTTCAATCGCAGTATATTCAGGTGGACAGCGACATCATTTCTTCACAAACATACTTTAAAGATGATTTTTAAAGGATTGTGAGCTGAACAAGCTTTCATAAAACTGCAAACATCAAAGTTAAACTTCACTAAATTTGCAGGACAATATCGGAAACATGCTGCTGAAGTGGAGCAGAAATCTGTCATGTTTTATACACAGTTGTTGAGAAAGATCTGTCACAGATCCTCTTTCTTGGTTCCTCTGTAAGTGGGATGTACAGCGGTGAGAGGAAAATGGATGATCTTTGACCTCAACGTCACTGACGGCCTGCAGGTTTTAGGTTTTAATTAGTTTTATTGAGTCCTTATATTGACTCGTACACCCTGTGGATCTCTCTTATGTTACTTATATATCAGGTGGTCTTGGAGAGTTTAATCAGATATGGGATCCAGGAAATGTACGATATCCTTCCAGTAGCGTTCAAACCTAGGCCTACCTGTTTCTGATCAAATGAAGGTCATAGGGGAAAAAAAACTACCACCAGTCTGTATATCAGCAGCCTGTGAATACTGGCAGGAACTTTACATCTTCTTTCACTGTGAGTACGAGCTCCTGCTCTCTGACAGGCGATGTATTGGACTCAAGTGTGAACATTTAAAAAAGTCATTTGTGGTGTCTAAACACTAAGTTTTAACCATAAGGGTCAAAGTGTGGAAAGAAACCATCGGTGCTGTATGTTGTCCCCAAGCTGTGGGATGTCTTGCAATATGTTCTAATTCCTGCAATATGGTTTAAGACGCGCAGGATTAAGTTGTTAATTTGTTATTTTTTGTAAATGGCTCATCAGTGTGAGTGTAATAGGGTCACTTATACAAAAGCTGTGTCCCGCCTTCACCTCTCCCCTTTGACTATTGTGCTGTATGGGAGAGGTGAGCCTCAGGTTTAACCTATCAGATAAATCACAGTCCAAAGCTCGGTTGTTGACTCAGACCTATTGTGCAGCATGTTAACATATTGCGGTGTCATTTTATCCGTGTAGGGGAACCTGTTCATCATTCTAATATTTACCTCTTTGGCAGAATAAACAGTAACCACCTCCCACAAATGTCCTAGTTTGAGTTCTTCCTTCACAACACAATGCAGACAATCTCAAATATGTCCGGTTACTTGTGTACAGATACACTCTGGTATGTGGTTGGTCGACTGTCACGTGCGGTGGCAGTAACTGAAGGATATTTTCCTTAACAGGGCAATCACATGGGTCTCATTGTGTCGTCTCTGCAGTAAAACCTCTTGTTGACTCTCCTCTCTGACACTCACCTCTGTCTGTATTTTAAGGAGTCGCCAGAATCCTCAGCCACGAAGGAGGAATCACAGACATCGAGGTCCTGCAGGTATGTTATCAGCTGGTAGTTAGTAGGTCAAGTGCGTTCCTTCCTGTGTTGCTGATCCTGTGTGTTGTTTCTTCGTGTCCCTGCAGGCCGCTCTGCTTCATGACACAGTCGAGGACACGGACACGACTCACGCAGAGCTCGAAGCTAAGTTCGGGCCAGTCGTCGCTCGAATCGTTCAGGAGGTGACGGACGATAAGAGTCTGCCCAAGCAGGAGAGGAAGCGTCTGCAGGTGGAACACGCGCCTCACTGCAGCCGCCAGGCCAAACTGGTCAAACTGGCCGATAAACTGTACAACCTGAGGGACCTGAACCGCTGCACACCTGTCGGTCAGTCACCCGTCTGCTCCGCCACTGAGTCACCTGCAGGACTGGGTTTAGTTAGATTACACAGATATCAGCATAACAGACAGGCTCCACTTGTCTTTTTGTTTACTGTCTGTCTTGATTTTCCCATCACATCACACCTGATATGACTTAACATTTCTAATTTTCTTAACTGATATTTAGATTTTTTTTTACAGCCAGTGTCTGTTCAGTTCGTCTCTTCACTATGTGTGGCTCATTTTGTCAGTTCATCAGATCTAATGTGTTCTGTGTTCAGTTATCTTGCATGATGCCCGTCATCAATTCAAACTAAACACGACAATGGTACCAATATTCTGTTTATTGTTTCGGTCCTGTTTCTATTTTTCTTTTCTTTTGTTAAGACATAACTCTTCAAAATAGTTCTGAAATATATGACTCCATTTTTTAAAAAGGCTGAAAATCTTCCAGAAACAGCTGCACTGTAGTTTTAAGCAAAGGTAACACTTGTGAGGAATAATTTCCAGATATATCAGGCTTTAGTTGAATCAGTTCACTGTTGGTTTTGTCTTTTCAGTGGATGAATTAAGAATAAGAGAAGTGTAGAATATTGCACAAGTGTGCTTTTTTAAAAGGGGGTTTTAGGAGTACACATAATAAAGTGTGCAAAAATAAAAACACTAATTTGGGACAGAGGGTCTTTTCAGATTAGTATTCTACACGTGTAAACCTGATCAGTTACTACAACTACTCAGAGCTGAATAATAACTAAGAGAACTGTTCCTTCTAAGGAATTGAGTAGCTCCAGATGTCACATAAATGCAGTGGAGTAAAACTGTAACACTTACCTGTGAAGTCATGTGTACCTTTGTAGTCACCGTACTTTCTCCTTCTGTTCGGCAGGTTGGACCCCTGAGCGGATCTACGAGTACTTTGTTTGGGCCTCTAAGGTGGTGAAAGGTCTGAAAGGAACAAACTCGGCTCTGGAGGAGAAGCTTCAAGAGCTGTTCAAACAGCGAGGAGTGGAGCTCTGACGGCACCCAGAACAAACTATTTAAGTCACAAATAAAGTGCATTTATAAATAATCTAAATAAATCTTATTTCAGATACATTTGTGTGGAATTTAAGTTGGTTTTTTCCCCCTATATTGGAGTACAGTTAAATTGAGAGTCAAAATAGTTTTCATTCATTTTATTTCAAACCTCGGACTATGTATTGAGGAACAACCCTTACAGACAGACATAAATATCAGTTACAGAAAGCTACATGACGACATCAGACTCAGGTTTCTATCTGTAAATGTAAAGATAAAGATTGCAGTTATCAGGTGCTGTACCGCTGCATTTGCTTCCTCTAACTTCTGCAGAAACAACCTGATTATTTGACACGATGGAAGTAAAGAAAACAGTTAATGTGCAATCAGCTTTTGCAGGATTTAAATATGTGACATGCAGCATTGAATTAAACAATTGTAATCAGTTACTGTTTTAATCCAGATAAATTTATCAATTAATGTTTTGATTCAACATTACAAAGTGGGTAAATAAGACCAGACTGTCTGCAGTGTGATGTGATGAAGGGCTTTTCCTTAAGGACAATACTAACAGTTTGGGTTTTACGCAATTACTTTAAATATTTTCTTTTATACTACTTCGTATTTTAACTCTGTTACAGTTAGTTTTTTTCAAAATGAGATTGAGATTTTTTTTAATACAAAGCATATAGAAATATAAGAGATCATTCTTTCTAGGAAGTTGAAGTACTGAACAGTGTACAGGAGTAGCACTGAAATGATTAGCTGATTGATTCATCGATAAGTTAATTGATAAAACTACTTTGATGGTTATTTTTAATACATAGATACTTTATATTATATGGTTCTAGCTTCTTAGACATGAGGGTTTGTTGCGTTAGAGTTATTTAAATAGTTTTTAATGTGTTTTTAATGACTTTAGGTTTGGACTGTCAGTTGGCTGAAACAAGCGTCATCTCCTGCCTGAAATTAGGAGACTTTGTTGTCACTCTGGGTAAATGTTATTGGCATTTCTACTTTCTTTCTTTCATTCTTTTATCATTTTTTCATTAAAAAAGTGTTGAAGTTTCATAGTTTCAGATGCTCAAAATTTGTATTTGCAGGTTTGAGGTTTGGATTTGGGATGGAAAAGCATCATGAAGGAGTCACTTTGGACTTGAATGAACTGCAAAGGATGCTCCAATTTTAGTTTTTTTGTTTGTTTGTTTTTTGTTTGTTTTTGCAAATCAAACAATGAGTTATTTAGGTAACAAACAACAATCCGTAAATTAATATACTCCTAATAAAAATCATTACTTACAGTTTAATAGTAGAGCTATGTTATGCAGCGGCCAGCAGAGGGCGGCATTTTATTGATCATATCTATATTTGTATTTGCCTGTAGTCTTCTCTTTTAATCGCTTTAACTTGATAATTATTTCGTAAATTAATTAATTAATAGGAACAAGCAAATTACAGCCTCTCTGTGTTGTTACAATGATTTTTTTAAAGTAATTTTTATCCGGTAATAAACGCCGTCGGAACCATACATACAGTTCGTGGTCGGAACAAAACTGTTTCCTGTCCGTTCGCCTTGCTGCGCTAAACTTCCGTTTGACTGGAGCAACGTCGAGCGTATTTAGTCGAAGTGGGAAAACGCATTATTTCTTTCTATCCAAGTTCGTATCGTCGACCAGGCAGTCATGTCTAGTCGGGAAGCCCTCAACATGAAGCTCCCGCCGATCCAGTCCACGGCCGGAGCCGTGCCGATCCGGAACGAGAAAGGTGAGACTGTGCGGGCAGCTAGCAGGCGGCTAGCGGCGTGCTAAGTTAGCCAGCTAGCATAGCGTAAGGGCTAACATAAACAACACAAATAGTCTGCTATAAATGTTGACAGGAGACTTGTTACTGATTTAGATTTTTTTAAATTAAAACCACAACTATACTTTAATGAGATTAAAATAGGAAATAGAGGGAAAAGGTTTCAACAATAACATACGAGTGTCCACATAGTTGTGACCGTGTAGCCGGATGAAGGAGAGAATCAGATGCAGCAACAAGTGACAGTTTAGTCTGGTTTATTCCTCTGTCACTGTAGGAACAGTCAAAAATCACGTTGCAGTAGTATTTAGGGCTGCAACTAAATGGTATTTTCATTATACATAGTTTACTTATTTAGTGTAAAAAGAGCAGAACAGTAGTAATAATTGTGTAGTTTTGAGGAATCTTATGATTGGCTTGAATATTTTTCTGATGATCGCTTCAGTTACCAATGATCTAGCTCTGTCTGTCTCTGCCTCTGTATCAACTTAAGTGTAATATTACAAACTTCAAAGTTGGTCTCTCTTATGGTGTCTGTTTAATTGTTTTTTCAGATTGCTGTATCATGTTCACTGCTTACGCAGATTTAAACTAAATTGCCTCTGTCTGTGCACATCCCAGGTGAGCTCTCCATGGAGAAGGTGAAGGTGAAGAGGTATGTGTCAGGTAAACGTCCAGACTACGCACCGATGGAGTCGTCAGATGAGGAAGAAGAGGACTTCCAGTTTGTGAAGAAGGGAAAGGAAATGGAGCCGGAGGTAGAGCTGGAGGAAGAGGAGGTGTCCGACCCACGTCTCAAACGTCTGCTCAACCGTGTCTCTGAGGACGTGGAGGAGAGGTATCGCACAGCTCTATGGACTTGATTTTAGTTCAATGAAAATATCAGTAAATGTTGTGCTGCTAAAATGCTGATTTAACCTGATGTGTCCTCAGGCTGGCGAGACACAGGCAGATCGCAGAGCCTGAAGTTGTTGCTGAGAGCAGCGAGGACTCTGATGAAGGCACGTGGCACCCGGAGCGTGAGGAGAGCAGCGAAGAGGAAGAGGAGGAAGAAGAAGAAGTGGATGATGAGGTTCGTATCTGTGCTTTTCCTGAATAGCATTTTTTTAATATGTTACTTATTTGCCCCAGGAAACATTTTTAACGTAAAATTTATGATGCTGTGCAGGAAATTGAGAGGAGACGATCGATGATGCGGCAGCGAGCCATGGAGAGGAAGAACGAGGAGATGGAGGTCATGGAGGTGGAGGAGGAAGGGAAGTCAGGGGAAGAGTCAGAGTCTGAGTCTGAATATGAAGAATACACAGACAGCGAGGACGAAGCAGAGCCGCGACTCAAACCCGTCTTCATCCGCAAGTAGGAACTGAAACAACTTATGGTTAATTAGCCATTTGCTGAAGTGTGAAAAATAACTGAGCTGGTTACAAGTTGGTGCAGTTTTGAAATAAAAACGTACAATTAACTTCTTCACGTTACTGATGTATTTGTAGCTCATAAAAATGGATTAAAGCAGAACTGTGGATTTCAGGCGGTAACTGTTTATCTGTGTTTTTTTCTGTTTACGTCACAGGAAGGACAGAGTCACGGTGGCAGAGCGTGAAGCAGAAGAGCAGAGGCAGAGAGAGCTGGAGGCCGAAGCCAAGAGGCAGGTGGAGGAACGACGGCGCTACACCCTCAAGATTGTGGAGGAAGAAGCCAAGAAGGAGTTTGAGGAGAACCGGCGCACTCTGGCTGCTCTGGACGCCCTGGACACGGACGGAGAGAACGAGGAGGAAGAATACGAAGCCTGGAAGGTCAGAGAGCTGAAACGCATCAAGAGGGACAGAGAGGCCCGAGAAGTGTGAGTAAAAACGCAAATCTGACACTGATCTGAAATGCATTTATGGTGAAAGACACTTGTTGTATTAGTAGAGCTGTAGCCGACCAAAGAAAACCTGATCGACTGAAATCGTACCTACTCTTTAACCAGTCAGTTCCTAGCAGACATACAAAGCTGGTATTTGTGGAGTATTTAGTCATTTGAACCTGGTATTTATACTGAAATGATAACAACAGACTCAGGGCAGACCAGTGTCAGCCATATTCACATGATTTCTGAAAATAGAACGACATCAACTGGTGATCTCAGCACAAGAACTACTGAGGAATATAACAGATGAAGTAGCTGCTGTTTTCAGATGATCAGTCGTGTTGGTTGTTCAGCTGTGACACACAAACTGCTGTTTACAAAGTTTAAACTAAATTTTTTGGCCATCTGTTTGAACTAAATGCAGCCACGCCGACGACTTCTTTGACATGATGTCAGGTAGTTTAGTGCCGAATCTCTATTAATCTTCAGTAAACGTTAAATAAGTCCGACCAGCAGTCTCCATGAGGTTGGACCAGTTCAAAGTTGTGAAAACACGGGGGTGTTCACAGGTGGTCTGTTCCTCCCACCGCCAAAAATAATGCATCAGTAGTCAGGCTGTTGATGGAGAGCTTTCCTCTACACGAAACTAAAACCTATGATTATCCAACCAATAAGAATTTGATCGTATGAGACCGTATCAAACCAGTGAATAGATCAGCTGACTTGCACACTACTACAGCTCTGCTAGTAGGAAGCACAATGCTGATGTTGTTTCTGAGGATGATAATGAGTGTTGTCTGTCCTCAGCATGGAGAAGGAGAAGGCTGAAATCGACAGATTCCACAACTTGACGGAGGAGGAGCGCAGAGCCGAGCTCCGCAACAGCGGCAAGGTCGTCACCAACAAAGCCTCCAAAGGCAAATACAAGTTCCTCCAGAAGTACTACCACAGAGGAGCCTTCTTCATGGTTAGTCGCTGCAGACGTTTGTTCTCCCCTTTGTCTGTTGTTTTGCGTAATGTTGCTGACTGATAAACAGTAATGAAAACACAACTTTTATGATGGCGGTGCAGTAGTGCTTTGGCTGCTGTTTTAAATGTTTGCTATACATTTTGCAAACCACCAGATGCCACTCTCTTAAAACTCTGAAGCTTCAATGCTGCTTTTATAACTTCATCCATTCAACACTAGTAAATTATTCTCTTTAGAAGTGAACATTAGAGTCTAACTGATAAAAAAAACAATCACCCACAGGTTCTGTAGCAGTGTCTATGCCTGTCCTCAAGTGACAGGAATTTGCGAGCCAGAGATGCTCAAGACACTGACTGTTTGACTTTAGATAACAGGCAGTATACAGTTTGTCCACCAGAGGTCGCTGTTACTCTTGAATTGTGCCACCTAGCGCGTACATCAACCAAATGTCTTAATTAAGGAAGAAGCTTTTAAAGTTAAATTCCATGTGGCTTTACAGACAGTAGATGATCAGTGTTGTGTAACTCTAAACGTGTGATTCTGTTGCAGGATGAAGAGGAGGACGTGTACAAGAGAGACTTCAGCGCTCCGACTCTGGAGGATCACTTCAACAAAACCATCTTGCCCAAAGTCATGCAGGTGAGCTGCTTTTACTCTCATCTGTGGCACGTTATAGCCTGAACTGTGGTGAAAACATCATCGAATTTGTAATGTGTGTTTATAAGATGGTAGGAGCTGGAATTTCTAAGTTTGCTGCTAAATGGTTTCCAGATTTTTGTGCTGATTCTTAGAACTAAAACATTTTGAATCTGCTAAGAACCGTGAGAATGAGAAAGTTATTGGTATTTATGAAGAACCCCATGAATTTGAATACTTTGTCCCTGTTTATTTTTGTGTTTTTTTTCCTAGAATTCTAAAGTGTGATTGGTAGATACCAGAATCACACACATCTGTTTTGTATCTGGTTGTTTTGGTGTTTCATTGAAGCTACAGTATGAGACCTGCGTCTAACTCAGACTACAAGAGTTTAGCTGATTTTCCTCAGACATAAGCTTTAATTGTGACCAAATCTAGGATTCAATAATTCGCTCCACAAAAGTTAGCTCACTACTCATTGTCCACGTCATGTTCGGCTTAAACCCGCTGAGCTTTCCGACTTGACCTTTTGCGTTTTGTTTCCCTCCTCAAGGTCAAAAACTTTGGTCGGTCTGGACGCACCAAATACACCCACCTGGTGGACCAGGACACCACGTCGTTCGACTCGGCCTGGGCCCAGGAGAGCGCTCAGAACAGCAAGTTCTTCAAGCAGAAGGCAGCGGGCGTGAGGGACGTGTTCGACAGACCCACGGTGAAGAAGAGGAAGACTTAAGATGGACACGAAAAGACATGGCTAGTGCAGCTGCAGAGACTGATCTGCATCCTGGAGAGTCCAGGGATGCTAACTCTCTATTCCATGGAAGGAAATCAGCAGATTGACTGATTTTACCACTTTGATGAACTGTTCAATCACCAGGAAGCTGCAGCGTCAGTGTTGGCAACTCAAAGCCTACTTACAGGGAGTTTCTCTGAAGTGGGGCGTCTGAGGTACCCAGTGTTGGTCACAGGAGGTCAGCAAGCAAGCAGTAAAATGCTGTGATGTATTTAAACCACATTAAAGAAAATCAGTACGTCTGAGTGCATTCTATAGTTGAAATATTTTCACTGCTTTACCTCAGAAAGCTCTTCCCTTTCACACATTTTCAGCTGTGGAACTTGCACATAAGCACCCTGCATTACATGGCACAAGTGTACTTGTGCATAGTAATGTGGTAGTTCTATGTTGTGACAAAGGAAAGCGCTGTTTGATCGCAAGATAGTGAGAATATTCTATATATAACATTGAAACAGACTTTTTAGGTGATTAAAATACATCAGAAGACACCAAGTACTTCATACAGCCCCACTTCAGAGAAACTCCACTATTGGTTGACATGCAGCTGGTCATGTGGGTTTTTAGCTCAAGATTTCTATCCTCAGAAGCTACTAACCTGGAAAACTCCCAGATTCTCCCTCAAGTTTAAACACAGCGGCTTGTAAATAATCAGCTCGTAACGACATTTAGTACGCAGACTCTCCCTGTTTTGTGAAACTACAGGTGTTGTAACTCGATTTGTTTGAATAAAACTTGTATCTACACTGTTTTTGTTTTTTTACAAATGGAAAAGAAAAAGAGGCTGGCAAACTGTTGACTTTTATTTAAAAAAGAAAAGGAAAAATAAACAGATTGGTGGTACAGATGACAGCGATCGGCCTCACTGATTTGTTGAGCCCGAGTGAAGCAGTCCAGTGTGTAAATGATGTTTGTTCAGTTGGTCAGAGCCACCAGCGCCTCCACCACGTTCCCCATGTGTTCCCTCAGACTGCGCTCCGCCACCGCCCTCGAAATCTCCATCTCGGACATCTGCACAGCAACACGAGCGTCACAGTTCAAAACAAATGTGCAGTTTTAAAGAGCTTCACAGTGGAGCCACTAATTGTAATCCAATACACTTGTTGTTAAACAAAGTAAATGTCTCCTCACAGTCCTGCTGAGACATAATCCAATGTTGGTGCACAGCCCTGACTCTGAATGGACAAAGAAAAAGGCTCCGATTGATTCACTGCTCCAGAGCATCCTGTGCACGAGTATGAACGTGCGCAAGAAAAGGAACAGGGAGAGAGAGGGACTGTAAATCTGGTTACACACTATCTAAACATGCTAACAAGCTAAACATCAACACGTCTTTCTCCAGAATTACAGACAAAACCTACAAACTGTCAACAACACTTTAAACTGGAGATTCTAGAGAAAGATAGTTGATGGTTTGGATGTTCAGGCAGATCACTGAACCAGATTTATTTAACAGCATTTCGTGGACCAACAGGAGCTACTTCCTATCTACAGAACCAGGACTGTGTTGCTACAACTGAACAATGAGGAAAAACTTTGATTTTTCTCACAGATATTTCAATATGATGTAACCTTTAAGTCGAGCTTTAGCTCAATATCCGTTATGTGATAAATTTAGAACATGTGATTGAGCATTACCACACGAGATTTCATCACAGATAGAACAACATGAATTTAGAAAACTGTTGACAACAGATTAAACCCTGGGGCAGACTTGCTGCAAAATGTACGAAGTTCAGGTATTAAATAATGTTTGATTTAATACGACAGGACTGTTAGTCTACATTGATCAACTGCAGACAGTTTTAACCTGCTCAACTTCACTGAATCTGACTTACAGCAATTACAGCCTTTGTGATTTACTATATAGATCAGGGGTGCCCAATCCTGGTCCTCGAGAGCCCCTATCCAGCATGTTTTAGATGTTTCCCTCTTCCAACACACCTGATTTAAATGATCAGGATCGTTATCAGGCTTCTGCAGAGCTTGATGATGAGCTGATCATTTGAATCAGGTGTGTTGGAAGAGAGAAACATCTAAAAATTACTGGATAGGGGCTCTCGAGGACCAAGATTGGGCACCCCTCATATAGATTGTTTCAAACTGATTTAAAATCAATTAACTGCTTAGCCCTAAAAACCACACACACACACACAGAACAAGGAGCTATTCACTGAATTTGACAAAATAACATTGGATTACAAACACTGACTTCTCCTTTAAAGTAAGATTTTTTTCATAGCAGACCTGCACCACTTGCATATGTGCTCCTGCATTGATTTCATATCTGTTCACTGGCTATGCGACTGCGTTCACACTGGAATTCATGGCAGTTTTTTGTTTTTTCTGACTTAATACTTAATAATTTTACCCGTCAACGGCTTTGAAAACACTATACGGATACTTAAAAAAAAAAAAGTCCACATGACCATCATTTTACAAAATATCTCTGTACACACAAGAGAATACAAAAGTACCATAAATACTTTGGTAAGAACTGTGAGACGGACGACACTCAAACTATGAAACACTGACAGTAATCCAAACATGAGTGTTTCCTGCAGACAGATGCACTGTCATGTGAGGTGGCAGCGTTAGTGTCCACATACTTTTGGCCATGAAGCGTACCAGCAGCAGATGTTACACAACCTGAACAGAATAGTCGACAAAAAATAAAACCAAACTTACAATTAGCTCTACGTCCTCTTTCTTGATGGTGACTTTGGCCAACTCTTTTTCTCTGAAAACACAGAAACAAAAAACTTATGACTTCTCTGCAAAAAAAACCCCCACAAGTATTCAAACTACTTTTCCTGGATCTGTGGGTATACAATGATTTTTTTGAAGACAAGCTCCTAACACAGTGACGTGTAGAGTGAGAGAACAGAAGTCTTACCTCTCCTGTTTGGCTTTCTGTTCTCGCGACCTTCTGTCTCCAATCACTGACATGGCCTGAAAGAAGAAACGTCACAACTGTGAGATCACAACATGGAGAAAACCTGCTGAGAATCACACTCAGGAATATTCAACTAAAAACCTGTTGCACAGAAGAAAATAGGAACTCATTTTCCAGTTTGCTATGTTGGGCAGGTTTGGCAGACAAATTTAAAAAACAAACAAACAACAACAAAAAAACACACAGGTAATTTGTTCCACTTAATGCAACATGGTCCAATTGGTCCAACTTTAAAAGATGGTTCTGGATTATTTTTGAAAAACAGTGATGTTGAGAAGCTCAGAAATTACTTTCAGTAGTTGTTTATACAGTTTAATTCTTGTCCTGATCGGATTATAGCATTTGTTTCATATTTTTCAGTTAGTTTTTGTTGTTTACATTTACTTGTATTTACTTGTGTAGCAGTTGTGTTGAGTAGCAGTTCTTCTTTATTTTTGCCATATTCTGTCCGTGTACTGGTGAAGGTTAGGACTGTTATTGACACTATATCAAGTTAATATGTTAAGTCAAAAAAGCAAATGGGAAAGTGAAAGGGTTTAGCTAGCTAGCTAGCTAGCTAGCCATCTGTCAGGCTACCGAGCTGAGTTAACCAGTGAAGTAACACAATTAAGCTAACGTCAACTGGCTATTAGTATGTGTTTGTGAAGCAAAATTCAAATAAGACAATTATTTATGAGACTAAATATTCAGCTAACAGACTTTATAACCCACATGGTTTGCTGTCGGAGGGGATGTTGGGACAGTGAAGGCAGCAGTGGCCGCATGTTTGCCGGCTAACGTTAGCTTCCAGCTCTCACCGTTTCTAAGTCGGAGCTGGAGATTTCTTTCTCCTCCGCGTAGTCCGTGACCCTCTCCAGGTCTGCCGCCCCGCTGTCATGTTTCCGAGGCTTCTCTGCCGGTTTCCCGGTGCAGTTTTCTTCGGCTTCCAGGTCCAGATCGACGTCTCCCTCTGCCGCCATGTTTGCTCCAGTGAGGCCGGAACGAAGAGAAAGGTTCCGCGCGACGTCGGAGGAAATACGGGGTCGTACAGGAAGACGATTTAAAGAATAAGGTGCAAGTGGATATTTAAAATATTTGTAGGTATTTAGTTATGTCAGAGCAAAGTTTGACTCTGTGTGGTAGCTGTAATTGACAGAGACATGCATGCGGTTTGTTTCAACCAGAAAAAATATTGAGTTTGATCATCATGACCAAACTTTTCCAGACACCTGATTTTTTATAAAAGTCAGCCTGAATTGTTAGCCAACATTATTTGGGTACCATATACCAAAAATCATATTTTTCTTATCTGTTATTTAGCCAGGAGGCTCCCACTGAGCAGGTCAGTCGTCACAGGAGGTCAAAGAGTACAGATGACCCCAGCCCAGGTCCAGAGAGGTCCGTGCAAAGGTCAAGAGTTGAGCAAGAGTGCTATAAACAACAACTAAAATACAAATCTAAATTAAAGCCGCAAGTGGTGTTGGACGGGTTCTCGCACTTCCACGCGTGTCGGATGCGGTGCACGTCAGGGTTGTAGCAGAAATGCGCTGCGGGAAATGGGGCAATCACCGTACCGTAACCCTTTCGTCATAAAACAGTAAATGCAGTTAAGTGTCACAGTTGTGCAGAATGCTGTTGTTGGTCCGTTTGTCCACTAGATGGAGCTCTGACTCCATTCAATCCTCAGTCCTCACTGTGTCTCCTCAGTAGTGCAGGAGCAAGCTGCAGCCAGAGCGGTTTAGAGGGCCGGATGAAAAGGATGAAAAGTCACAGTTTTTGGCATGAGTCATCATCAACATGTGAAGGCTCACGTCATCCCATTAGAGGTGAATATGGTCGACCGGCTAATAATATAATAATAATAATGTAGCACATGAAAGTGTGAACATGTTCTTTGTTGTTGCCAGCAGGTGGCGCTATGATTGTGACTGGATATTGGCGTATGGGTTTCATCAGAGCAGGACTGTGATCAAGTATGTAGAGTTCGAGGCAGACTGGAGCATGTACAGGGTTGTTAGACATGCTTCCTTTGTGATGGCGAATCATCACAATTCACGCCCTTTGACCTTTGCAGATGATTTTGATAACATTTTACCTTCAAGGTGTATTCTACATGCTACCCACATTTCAGCGCTCTGTGACTTAACCCCGAGGAGGAGTGAGCTCAGGTTGGACAAACAAACAATCCAAAATGGCAGACTTCCTGTTGGGTTCAAAGTATGGCTGTCACTGACTTTTTTGTTCATCCTGACCTCCTCCATATACCCACCAAATTGTGTAGGTTTAGGTCAAACGTGCTTCCAATGGGACTCCGTTGAAATTTTTCTAGGTGGCGCTGTGGAGCCATTTTTTATTTCCCCCTAATTATAACATTTTTCGCCGGGACTGATGTGTGTGCCAAGTTTTGTGCGTTTTTGAGCACATTTAGGACCTGAAAAATGTGTTTCTTTGTGTAATAATGACATAGCAGTTCCAATGGAGGTCCTATTCACAGTCGTGCTCGGACCCTAAGAACAGACAATAAAGTAATAACAGCAAAAGGTTACAACACAATTAAAGCTAAAGTCAGGATGGGTTGAATGTCAACTAGGAGAGGTGAGTTTAAGCAGCAACTTTAAAGTTTCTGAAGTCTGAGCAGGTCTTATATGAAACGATAGAACAGCTCCAGAGATTAGGAGCAGATCCTGCAAATGCTTCACAGCCTGTATTTTTGTGCCAAGATCTCATCCAGGAGCATCTGGTTCCTCAGTGCTGTAACCGGGGTGTGATGATGCACGACTTCTGCTAAACAAGCTGACGGCAAGTTGTTTA